AAATATACTGAATAATAGCTACAATTCCCATCCACAGGTCGTTATTTCAAATTCAGCAATATTTTTTGAAACCCATGGTATAATACATATTATATATGGGTTAGAAAATTGTTACCTATAGCCCCCCCCCCCCCCCCCCCCCCCTTCCTACATGAAAAAGAGTTTGGACATTTTATATATTGTTATTGTTTTTTTTTCTTTGCTCTTAAGACTATTTTCTGTGAAGAAGAAAATTAATAATTTTCCCTAAAAAACATCTTGGAAATAAATGATATGTCCTGCCATGAAAATAAACCTAACTTAATCCCCACCTTCTGGATCAAAGGTCGTCCCCTAACCCATAGTAAACGCAGTCATATTATGTAGTTTTTAAACAGGATAAACAAGTATAAAATGTTTTGTTAACCAGTCAAAAATATACTTTTGATGATTGGGGTAGTTGCATAGAAATACAAATTGTCTGTGAATCAAATTAAAAGTTAACGGTTTATCATTTCTCTGGACTAAGATACATTATGATTAAACTTATAGCAGTACAATATTAAATCTGTCTAGCAGTATTTTATAAATAATGAAAATAATTTTCTGACCCCCCCCCCAAAAAAAAAACCAATTAATTAAAGCACAATAGCAGATTATTCGAACAGGTCCAGCATATGTTTACAACAGATTATTATTGATTAAACTTTGGGAAAATCAGATCTTTTGCGTAGATCCAGGCATATTTGTGTTGAAATATTTACCATCAACATCGCTAAAATCTCATTTTTTAAAGAATGATATTTCAAAGTAAATTAGATTTTTCCATCAACTTCTCTGAAAAAAAGTCACTGGAAAACACATTTTGACTGTCACTTGAAAAGTTCCGATTGTTAAATATGGTTTAAAAAATGTACATTTAGAAGCAAGGGATTAGTTTACTAAATCAGCAGATGATCATGAGTGTCTTTACATGCTTGTAGCGCAATTAATTCTCTACATACAAGAAGTCTTGCACTCAATATGGAAAGTGTATAGTCGTCCAATATTCTTAAATGCCTACCTTTATATCAATAAAACCTGAAAACTGTACTTATATATTATATAAGTACAGTTTTCAGGTTTTATTGATTTTCACATTTTATGCATCAAGCTAAAGGGAGAATGTAAAACCAGTTTTTAATAAAATACATTCAATATACGGGATCGAGGTCAGGATACAACATTTACAATACCAGTATTCCGAATAACCGAGTATAAATGCATTATTAACAAGCTAATTCAAAGAATATGTGTCCCCTGCTTAAGGAGATAAGAATTTCTGTAGATTAAGAGGGGGGGGGTGTCGGAGGGTGGTTAGGTAGGGGATGGGACACTTAAAGTGGGGCGGGCGGGACCATAGAGCGTTATGAACAAAAAATAAGCTAACCTAAACGCTTTTTGAGATATCACTTGGAAATGAGAGGTTTACATACAAACAATGTCTTTTTCTACCTTTACCTTTTGACCTAGAAATAAACAGGGGTCATTTTAAGCCAAAGCAATTTGTGGTATAAACTCAAATTGAAAAAGATCATAGGCTTCTTAAGATATCCCAAGATAATAAAATGTTAAAACAGACAGAGGGGGGGGGGTTACTTTTATAGACAAAAAAAAAAAGAAAATAAATTCCTATTTTCTCCCAGTTTCAAAGTGATTAACAGCTAAAACTGTGTATTTTATTAATATATATACTAGTATGTTTTACTTATTTGTGTAAATTAAAACATGAGAAAAAATCTGCGTAACATTTAATTACATCCAAGATTTTTTCAAAATATGGTGATGCTTGAAAGTCCGATTTCAATGAAATATATCATCGACTCCTCCCCCCACCCCCCACCCCACCCCCTTATTTCAAGAGTTGGAATAAGGGATAATGTTTTATTTAGCACTGGTATTAAAATAATGAATCAAATACCATTTAACTGTTTTTTATATTTAATAAAGATTTTATGGCTAAATTGCCATTAATATTGAATAAAATGGTAGCAAAATGTAGGCGGGAATTGAGAGTTAGCGTGCATAGTTCTTTATATACCACTGTGACCTTATTGAACTTTGACCTTCTGTCCATATGGGCACACATTCATATGATGCTAGTTATTGTTGACCAGAACTGTAACTTTGTTAACGTTTCTTCATTTGTTGTTTAAAACACAAATATTAGTTATGACACAGAAAAAATGTTGTTTAGTTTTCTTAAATATCTATCAAAATCGGCCATTTTGACCTTGACCTTTGACTCTTAGTCATGAAAATTGATTTTTTCGCTTTGTTTTTGCTATTGTTTACCATATATCTAAATTTGATTTAATCCATTTTAAAATACTGGGGCAATTACATGGATCCTGATTGTATCTACGTATTGTGCTTTTCTAGGATTTTGAAAAAAAGCATAAGTTTGTAACCATGGTAACAAGAAAACTAAATATGAATACCAAGTAGTTCTTTGTAGTGCATATTAGAACTATATATGAACTTTCAAACCAATGTATTCATTTTTTCCAAACTATCCGCAAAAATTTATACCAGGCTTTTCAAAAGAGCCTAAAATCTACAATTTTCCACAAGAAAAATCCTACCTATAAATGAGGGATATTTTTTTCTATGAGAAAAAAGTTACTGAAATACTAAAAATTTTCTAAAGCACTGTAAAATGATGTATTTTGGCAAAAAGGTAAAGTCATGTTGATAGCTTGTTCCATTAAAGACTTTTGATAAGTCAAAAAGGGTCATTTTTCATCAAAATTTAGCGATTTTTAGGCCATGAAAATTGTATGTTGGTTGCCATGGTAACCATGGACCATAGCAACCATTTTATTATGAATTTTAGGTACATACATCAATATAGGAATGTATGCCAAGTTTCATAAAAATCCAAGACCATGCGTGCCACACTCCCTATATAAGAGTTTAAATGCTTACAGAGAATGGATATTAAGTTTATCCATTCTTTTAGTGAAAATATTGCAAAAACAAAATGTGTTTATCAAGGAAGGGCAAGTTAGACTTCGATAGCCTCTGGAAAGTTGTTTCCCTGTTTATTTTGTTCGAATTTTAATACTTGAGACCGAAAGTACATTGTAAATTGCGCATTTGATTTTATAGGTGCATTGTCTTTATACATGAAGGATATGGAGATAACGAGCAGTATTCAATATCAAAGTCCATAAAACAATACAAAATAAAAGTAGAGCAAACACGGTCCTCTAAGACATCAGATGTGGGATCCGGTGCCATGGAGGAGTGAGGATGCCCTGCTGACCGGTCACACCCGCCGTGTGTTCTCTCCGTCATGATCGGGAAATAACGTAAACATCCGTCGTCAATTCAGGGTATAAATGATGGCCTAACAATCAGTATGAAAAACGTCAGTCATTATTTAACTCAATGATAAATTGTATTTGATGACAAGGTCATTGTATCGACCAAAGAACTTGTTTGTCAATAATTTACTTCGTTTTAGAAATTGTTCATACGTAGAGCGTGCTCTTGCGCATCGAATCAACCGAGATATATAAACCCTTTATGCAGCTGATGAAGATATGTTGCTGCAAAAGCAACGGAAGCTGAAGATAAAAGAGTTGAAGTCATAACGTTTTTATAAAGCTTGGTTGCTAGATTACCATTAAGGTCTTTTTCTAGTAAAATATCACATATGATGCTTTCAATAACAGCCTTTCAGAGATCATACACGTCCAACTTGCCTTTCATTAATAAACACATTAATATATATTATTTCTACAATGATGGTTTTTCACTTAAAGTACATTAAACACATTAAACAGGTGCATTTCTTTAAAATATGCAATTTTTTATATATATTTTTCTCAAATATACTGTTTTAAATGTTTGTTTTCTATCTGTTAATCAATGATATATTTATATTTATGCGAAATTATCGTGAAAATAAATTTTTGTTCATCTTGACCATTGGCAAAGCCTTAAACGGGTTTTTTTTCTCTTTTTGAAAAGTTACTTTTTTTGTTTATTGTTAGTTACATTTAGCCACTTTCTTTTGGATCCGAAACCGATTAGATTTATATTTAGTCAAAAAGGCATGTGTCTAAATATCACGGCATATCTATAATGCTATAATCCATGTGAAAAGAAAGTTACTACAATTTAAGCGTTGTCTGTTTTCAAGACGTACTATCAACACTTCTCTGTTCAAATGCTACTTTTGAAATTGACGGGAAAAAAGAAAAGTGTTAAGGCACATTTTTCACAACAAACCTTAGTTTTACGAAATCCATGATAATAATAATACGTTTCAATTTAATCAATTTTTATCTAAATATATTTATACCATTCAAAAGATCTTGTCACTTGTGACTTGTGATATTTAAAAGCCCCGGAACAAACTAATCAAAAGGTAGACCAAGGTTATGATCTTATTATTTTTCGTAAAAATATATTATATTCCAAGGTCAAGATTAAAAGAATGCATATCTAAATATGAAAGCCATGGCCACACCCACAAAAATGGGCAATGTTTAAGTTTTTTCGGACAACCAGTCAAAAATACTGACAGTTAGACAGACAGACATACGTACGGACGGACAAGACAAAAACTAATAACCTCCGAATCTTTGAAAACGGGCGCATAATAACTAAATGCCATTTTAAGAATTGCCATTTTAGGACAGCAGTCTTAAAATGTATCCTCTATCGATTTGATAAAGGTACTTGTATTTCTTTAACGTTTAAATTAACATGAAAAAGAATTGCTTGAGAAAAAGAAAATTTAAAAAAAAGAAACATTTTGAAAATAATCTAAAACTGTTTTATAGATTTCAAAACATTTTCTAAATTGATTTTTTAATTAATAAAAATTCTACCTCCATTTTTTGCATCTAAAAAATGAATACAAGGAACTACTTCGGTTGCTCAATGTAAAGTGTTAACTTAAAATAAACTTAAGTTTAAATATTTCTTCTGCATGCATTTATTTGCACCTTCGTGGAATATCTTTCTTGATTAGTAAAAAGGCTTTTTGCATGTCCATGGATACACATTACAAAGCGTTGAAGGGTTCCCCGATCTCTGTATTACTGTTCCAGATCTGTAGCTTTGTTTAATTCCTGTTTTAAAATTAAACACAAAAAAAATTCTGTAATTCTTTCAAAATAATTCACGTGTTTCAGTAAAAAAAAAAGCTGTTTTATTTGATATAATGAATCATATTTATTGACAAAAACATATGTAGGTGTTTCAATAGATATAATCAGGGACATTTTTAATTAACAATATATATATATATATATATATACAGCAAAACTCGTTTAGTACGAACACGGATATTGCGAATTTACGGATATAGCGAAGTTATCTTGGATCCCTAGCTATATGAATTTAACTAATTCCTTATACGGATATAACGAATTACGGATATAGCGGAGTAATTTCTTTGGTCCTAGTGACTTCGTTATAACCGAGTTTTACTGTATATATATATATATATATATATATATATATATATATATATATATATATATATATATATATATATATATATATATATATATATATAACCTGCAAGATTATTTTTAAATTCTAAAAGGTGTACTGGAAGGTTCCTTATTTTTTTAATTGTTGTTTCGTTATAATTCCATTTCTTACATGTATATAAAACACAAAATTTAAACAATCACCTTTTGCACGAAGTTTCGCTTCCTGTCGATTCAGTGACGTCAACCATTGTTCCGGATTGAAGCGGAAATTACTGCACGTAGGAAAGTTAGGCGGGACTGGAGGCATGTCCGAAATGTCACCTTCCTGTGCAACCAAAATCATTCCATCAGCTTGATGATGTGTTAAATGGCAATGCATCAACCAAAAACCTGTGATATATATTTATTTAAATTAGTCTAATGCAGCGAATTTTGGGAAGGTGGGGATAAACGAAGAGGAAGTTGCATCATATCCTTTTTCTCATTTTTTTAAATCATGAATTTTTCATAAATTGAGAAGTAAATGGCATTTTCTTTGTCAATCCAATTATAGCCTCACTACCTTTCCCAAACCAAAACATAAACTCTTGGCCTAAAAAGTACCATAATAAAAGAGTCATAAATGTATCGTATGTAAGTTAAACTAAGACAACATTTCGATGTCTTTAAGTTAGTATACTAGGATTATGGGCAAGTCAGTATATTCAATTAGGGAACAAGCTATAGACATAAAAATGAGTTTACAAGGATCATTGGAGAGTTAGTATATTCAATTAGGGAACAAGTTATATAAATAAGAGTGAGTTTACCAGGATTATCGGCGAGTAGTCTAATAACGACGTAACCATTGGCCGGAACGGTTACGGAATCTTTAAGTGGAGGATCAACTAGATTTAAACCAGGAATATTTCCAGTATTCCAAGATGGATCCGCCCATGTTGCTTCTGTACAAAGCTGATTTAAACATCTTATATCCGGGTTTCTTGCAGTAGCATTTCCGGTTTCTGGGTCATACGGAGGGTATCCGATTTTTAAGACATGAAAATGATGGCCATGTAAATGGACTGGGTGACCTACTTTGATATTACCTTGAAAAAAAAAAGAAACATGAAAATTTACTTGTTTGCTCCCATGGGTGAATGGAGAGAGAGAGAGAGAGAGAGAGAAGTGGTTCCTTACTGAATGAGAATAAAACAATTTCGATTATATTTCCAAGCTCGAATTTCAGGATGTATGTACATCTGCAGTCTTCAGAAGTACACGTGTCCGGGCCACAAGGAGTAATAGCACCCAGGCCAGGGAATGTCTAGAATTGAATTAAACAAAACCATTCTTAAAGCTTATTCAGAAACTTTATTCTTGTTTGTGTTAAACATCACTAGTACTCAAAAACTGTATCATGTTCCTATACATACACTGGCCAGCAAAAATATCCCCTCAAGACAGCAAATATATCTAAATTAAGGATCATAGCAAAATTTGGTACATTTTTTGTGGCAATCAGGACATATTAGCCTATTAGAAATTTGTTCAGCATATATTCACATAAAAATTTATATTGGACTGGACTAAATATAAGGCATTTTTTCTGGCATTCTTCTGGTTGAAATTTCTATGCTGTTTTTTTTTTCATTGACAATCTAATAATTAAATTGTATTTATATTTAAAAGCTTAAATGCTCTACCTTGCTGCCAGTGAATTCAGACCTTTGTTAATAATTTCATCTCCTAAGGAAAGTCTAAAATAAAATCAGATGTTCCTGGAATGTTCATGCTATTTTTGATTCCTAATTACTTAAAGCCTACTTTTTTCTTCTCAATAATTATTACATATTCATGTCCCATAAAAATAATCATTGCCTATATAAATCATTTTGGCAATATAGGAGGTTCATCCAAAAGTATTATCAAAACTGCACTAACGTTTTTAAGTATCGAATGTTACTAACGAAAATTTATACGTATCTCTCTGCCTTTTTGGTGTTTGATTTAACATTTTATTCAGGAATATTCAGTACATTTTACGACATTAAAACTCTTTTTTGTAAGGTCCTGTAGTTTGCTGCACCTAACCAATGTTACTGACATCACAATTGCATCATCTTGGGACTTTCTGTCAGAGGTCGAAAAGATGTTCCCGCTAGTTGGAAAGGCCCGAGAAGTAGAATTGACCGACAATTTTTTTTCAATTCATTTAAACCTCTTACATGCTTCTTTTCAATATTTTGATCGAATTTATCTATGCATTGTAGTGGTAACGATTAGTTGAATTTTGTGAAAATAAAAACCATTTCTAGTTAATTTTATTTTTGGTTATATATCTTCGAATACAGATTTTGATAAGTTATGATCTGTTCGCTCGTTAACTGATTGCATATTGTAAAATGAATATGTTAAACAGTAAAATAAATAAACATACATTAAACATTGGACAATATTTAAGTACCTAAAGCGGGTTTATTTGTGTTAATTGAAAAAAAAAATACGCATGTATTTACTTCATGCAATTGATTGATTTTTGCTAAACTCTGGCTTTTTCTTTTAGTAGAGAAAAAACGTTGATTTTTAATTTTAATAATAATTTTAAATTGTGCGTAACTGTGTAATTGCAAAAAATTTAATGTCTGTCCCTTTATCTTGTGGGTATGACTCATTGGATTTTTTTTTTGTATTCCACGTTTATGACGTTACGATGGGTTTTGTGTAATTGAGTGATTAAGTAAAATGGAATGAAGTCCTGTATAAAAACAAGGTAAAAGTGATTGTGGTGAATAAAGCATAGGATAAATAGAATCCATTTGAATTGTAGCTGGATATGACTATTATCCAACTCGTTGTGTGTTTTATCCCCTCCCGCCAACAAGGTTCGGAAAACAATACACACATAATCTTGTTGGATAAAAACCCTACCCAACTTTAAATCAACTGTAAAACTGTGAGGCCTTATATATTATGGTTTTTTATTCATTTATTGAAAAAAATAATGAATTTGTAGCTTCCAATACTTTAAAACTACTTCAAAGAAATTCATTTATTGGAGTTAAGAATAAATTACATTGTACATAAAAAATTCTTACTATAATATCTAAAATATGTATTCCATGTACGTAGCAAAGTTCAAGCAACAAAAAGGGGACAAAGCCTAATTTGTATGGGAAAACTTGACCATTACATCATACAAAACCTGCAATTCTTAAAAATACCTCAAAATGATGTGATTTGCTATTTTAACCCGTATTAAACCATCAAACTACATAAAAACTAACTACATCAAGCTGTTTTTTTTTTCTTAGTTAATCCCATATAAAAAAAATATATAAACAAGTCAATGATCGCAATTCAATTATCAATGTGACATCATTTCGTAAAACTAGACGCAGTTTGTAGGCAGAGAGATGCAAATCAATTAATATTTTCTCAACGAAAAATGTATTCTATGATTAACTAAAATATTATTTACAGATATTTTATAAGCCATTAACTTGGATTCAATGTCTTCTTAACAATTTTATTAGTATATTTTCCATATATTTTCTATTTAATGATACTGCCTTATATTTGTTTGCAAGTACATCGGAGGGTACTGTAAAGGTCTTAATAAATCGATCTAGTGCAAGGGCATGCACTCAATGGGTCATAGTAAGCTTTTACAAATAAACTCTAGAAGTATCAAGTTATCAGAAACGTGCTGTGATCTTGATGAAATCTTGAAAATAATTTGATCACATCAAATTTGACCAGCAAAAAATATTTCATTTCCTCATACAAATATGATTTTAACAATGAAATTGCAGAATCTAGATAGGATCGCATCACTTTCAGAAATTACAATCCATGCTGAAAATATTTATAAACTAAACTTAGAATTTTAACTTTGCTATGCCCTGGTACGAGTGAAATTTAAAGTGAGGTCAAAAATGCAAGTAAATGTGCTAAAATCACGTGACTGTCTGAATATAAAATCTAATCGTCATCAATATGTAATTATTTACCATAATTAAAATTATCCGATATGAATTATGTACTAAAATAATTTTCATCCTGATTATGAATACATTTTTTAATCACAAAAATTGACCATATTTCCATTGCGCACCTTACCTGTACTGCATATGTGTTACAAATAAATGTTGTACTTTTTTGTCAAACAAGTTGTTTGCTTGGGGTTTTTTCATCCCAAAACCTTTTTATCTAACCATAAATTATGGGGGGATGTTTTTTTTATACCTTGTTTTATACATCACAATCAGTATTTTATTAAAGAAATACATAACAAGTTTATAAACTTCAATGGGAATTGAAGTGGGTCGGTCACGTGATCAAATCCCGTGAAGGCCGAAGCCTTCTCAGAAGATTTGATCACGTACAGACCCACTTCAATTCCAACTGAAGTTTATAAACTTGTTATTTATTACTTATATATACATTTGAGATAGACAATTAAATATATTCCTATATAAATATTGCACTGACCGGTCGCCGTGGATTTCTGTCAAAAGTACGCAAGGTGTATATCGGCTTGAAAGGCGGTTACGCTTTGAATTCGTCAGGCTAAGAATTCTATTTCGAAGGGAATATTTTGTTAAGATCAAGATCTAGTAAATGAAAGGTGCCTACAGATTTATAACATTTGAGAAATAAATTCCTTTATTGATGCTTTACAACTTTAGCTTTGTCAAATATGGTGTTTTGGGGCATAATTTGTAGGTAAACAAGATGAAAAACTGTATTTTAAACTGTCATTTTCAATGAAAAATTAAGAAAACCAGTCATGAATATGGGAGTTTCTTTAATTTTCATATTCGACAAAGGAAATGTATCCAGATTGCCTGCAGTCTCACAGAAAATTTTAATTAGTATGTTCATGGCCTCTTCTTTAATCCAATATCAAATTCAATATAGGTATCCGGTTTACTTTTCATATGCTTTCAAATTGAATGTCATGAAAATACCACATTTTCTACATAATTCTGCTAAAGCCGTAAAGAATGGTAAAAAGAAAATTGAAATTAATTATGACGTCATAATGGATCTAGCACCAAAAAGCTAGTCTAAAGTAATTTACTAGATCTTGACCTTAAAGACTACTTGTGATCAGTAATAGTGAATAGATTTTGCCTGGGAATATTTTTATTTGTGAAAAATGATCATTATGCTGAAAAGACACAGGAATCACGTCCGAGAATTGATGATAAAAAGTTGGAGAAATTTCAGTCGCCTGAAAGGGATGGATGGATCCGATGGATGGAGACATTTGTCCGAAGCAGTTAATTTGCAATCAAGTATTAAATTTGATCAAAAACATTTAATCTACGATTTCAGTACATGTAAGTAAAGGCATATTTATGATGTTAACACGGAGACACTGGCGACAGTTTACAATGAAGCACGACAGCGCCGATCGAGGTGTTTCTAAGCTGTTCGTGGCGCGATTGCAATGCTTTGATCTTTTCCAATAGATTTACACATTTATCGTGAGTAGAATTTAATGAAAAAAATATAGTTTTAGCCTATATCATGAAGATTTAACTTAAGGTCTAACAAAAAAAGGATAAACTAAAAAGTTACAGACTGTGCAGTTGACAAAAGTGAACGTGTAAACAAAGGCTAGATTCTATCGGTATATTCACCTATGTACACAGGTTAAATCGATCGCAAAAAATGTATGAAGTCTTTGCTCACATTGTAAACAAAATGATTATTTCACTTGCTTATTTTGTTCATCTTTATACACGAAAAGCAAGTCATTTTTTATATTCACAAGTAACGGTAGATATTATTGCGCCGTGTGATTCGGTCATGTATTGACCTTTGACCTCCGACAAACTTCATACAGAATTGAAGATATTTTCTCTCTGTCTGTTTATATAGTGGAAAGATACCACAAATGTATATATTTCGTTTTAAATAGGATTCAATTTATTTGATGACGTCACACTCATACAAAACCTATTATGACGTTACATCAAGGAGATATTTTAAAAATGATTGGAATTCACATGATGATGGGTAAATATGGTGCAAATATCATTTATTTATTATTTACACTTCTTAAATGTTTTACCTGAAGTGTTGAGGTAGGTTTACGGAATAAAACACCATTGATAACAGGTACTGTACCTATTATATACCTAAAATATAACACTATTGATAACAGGTACGGTATCTATAATATACAAAATTAAATATGCTAGAAAATTGTTTATGAATAAAACACCATTGATGACATGTGCCGTACCTAAAATTTACGAGAAAACAATCTGCTAGAAAATTATTTATGCACAACTAACAACTCAAACATTAATAAATCAATCAGACATTTTGTACATTCCACGAGGGTTGTACGTAAAGTTCGTGGACACGCTAAACTTTAATAAAAGTTGTGTCATTGATATTCATTTTTAGCAAATTTCTAATTCTTTTAGTAAACGTGAATTGAAAATGTGAAATTTTATACAATTTCAAATGTTTAATTAGAATTATGGCTTCAGAATAAGACTTGGAATGGAGACCTGGAGTACCGCGAAATTTTAATCAAAAAATTATTTATCACTTTATAAATTTCATTTGTTCATGTATTTTATAAAATTATGTAGATATCTGAATGACTTTTATATTATGAGGTTGGCAGAATTTATCACCTCAAACCTTCAAAATTTGAACGTTGTAAAATGGCTGAGCAATCAAAGTTAGAACATATTAAGACGGATCGGAATTCTTCAAAAAAAAGAGACGTTTTCGGAATAGGTAGAGCAGTGAGCAGTGATAAAATTCTGCGTAGACATCGGGAAAACACCTACAGAGACCAATACATTCTGTAAACAATCAAGAAAACATAGTAAAATAAGTCACTCATTAGTATGTAAGTGGCATATAATATTTTCAGACGGAAGGAACAGTGTACATGATGACATGCGTGAAGGAAAACCATAATTCCGAGATTGCAGTGCCGTAAAAAATGAATTTTGTAACGTTTTCTCGCGGACAGAGGTTGGATGATTGTACGATATTAGACAAGCATTGTCAAATATTATTTTGCGCATGAAACCTGAACATTTTGTGTACATTTTTATGACTGGTTAAAGCGACATAAGAAATGCATTGAGTTAAACGGTGACTTTGTTGATAAAAGTTAATGTACTAGTATTAAGCTTTTGACGTCGGGTAACGTCAAGAATATTCGTGTTAGTGCTCCGGGTATGAGTGTGTGTCTTTTCTTGTATCTGATAAAAATACAACTATTTGTGCTTTGTTTATGTTGTAAACTTGCAGATTAATAAAATGGAACATGAATTTAATGAAAATAGTAGTTTCGTGGAGGATATGGAGATAACGAACAGTATTCAATCTCAAAGTCCATAACACAATACAAAATAAGAGCAGAGCAAACACGGACCTCCGAAATATCAGAGGTGGGATCAGGAAACATGGAGGAGTAAGCATCCCCTGCTGACCGGTCACACCCGCAGTGTGCTCCTTGTCGTGATCAGGAAATAACGGAAAAAACCGTCGTCATTTCAGTGTATAAATAATGGACTAACAATTAGTATGAAAAACGTCAGTCAGCATTTGACTCAGTGATAAATAATATATTTTATAAATGTTTGTAAGTAATTATCAATGTTGTCCACTAACTTTACGGACAACCCTTGTATGTTACATGTATTTACTTTATATCACATTGCCATCACATTTAGTGCATGGTTAATTTTCAATAAACGGATCCGTAAAAATCGATGTATTAAAAATTTTCAAAGAATGCATTTTGCGTTACATGTAGCTGTCTAAATATACGTCAGCAAGAACATAAGAATTTATTAAAGCAACATTTTTTTTCTATTCGTTCAAGTATAAACACAAAAAATTAAATTAAATATCGACAAAAAATAAAATGAATACTTACCTAATAGAAATAAATTAAGGAAAAACAGCTGTTTTACATCACCAGGTCCAACAATAGGAACAGGATTTTTCGTTAAGGACCATTCAGTTGATTTAAGGCTTGTTATGGGTACATTTCTTATGTTTACGTTCGCTGGGTATTGACTAGAAACATGTTGATAGATATATTCAATATTTCCTCAAGCTCATAATTGAATCATATAAGTTTTGGCACACTTTGCTTACGTTAAGCTAATGTAAGGTTATTCAAAAGGTTTTTTCTTGATTCAGCGCCCAGCCAAGTTTTAAAAAACTTAATTTATATACAGTATATACAAACTTGATAATATATTGATAAAAATAATCACTGTAGGTAGAAATCATCATCCAATAGAAACATGTAAGAGACGGTCAATCTCCATGTACTGGCTAATTTTCACCACTGTATAACAAAAATCAGTGGATAAATTCAATTCTGTCAAGCCAATGGTTAAATGTTAACCTCTGATTTAACCAGCGATTAGCGCTTTGCAGGGTTTTGAGCAACCCAGTCGAGTAATGCGTTGTGGGATACCAAGCATTGTTAGAATCATTTGACTTGTAGTTAGTTTACCAGATGCTAATTTTATATATTTTGAGCAGTGGTTTGTTGGCCAGTTGAGATCGAACTTTAGGGTCTTTTCCAATAACATTTAACCAATGTTTTCAACAATCAAGTTCTGATTTTTTTTTTTTTTTGATCTGGGTTTCAAAAACCAAAGAGCAGGTGAGCTCTAAACGACGAAGAACCTGAATTGGACTAAACCTGTACAATTAGTAATGTTATAAGTGTTAGAAAGTTAACGCTTACCCGTATACTTGATTAACTGCTAGGCAAGGTGAATTCTGTGTGCACGACCTCTGTCGTTGAAATGGTGTCAGATACTCATTTACCCCCCGGTAATTCAAGACACCATAGGTACGTTTTCGGTTTACAATCTCCTCCTAAGAGGAGTTTTAAAAATAGCAGTGAGGAATAAAATATTTTTAAAATTTCATGATATTTTTTATTTATTTTTGAGACATTACATTATGAAAGAAAATAGATTCAAATATTTAACACTCTTGTTTTGTTTCTATATGATTTGAAGGATAGTTACAAGAAATTATTAATTTTGATTATAAAATAAAGAGAAATTGAAAGAATGTAGACAAATTATCATAAAACTTTAAAATAACTGTTTGTTGTAAGTGTTAAAAGTTAAACATACCCCTGTCTCCCTTAACGTCGGGGTTGTAAAAAAGTTTATATAATAATTGTCTCGGGGGCGCCCTGTAAATATTATGAAATCACAGCTTTCTCCTATTGATAGGGTGACAATATCCGTTCTGAATGGTTCTACGTCACTTCCGTCAACTGCTACGATGACAAGCAAATGCTGTAAATTTACAGGGAAGAAAGGATTAAATCCTCGATTCTACAATTTCTAACAATTTTTTTTTCCATAGAAAGCCAGAATAATTGTTGCATTGTGCTCTTATTGGGTATTTCAAAGGTTTGTACATTTCCTTTAGCAGCAATTAACTTGCATATTTATACATACACCTAATATTTAACCAAATGAAAGTCAGATTTCCATCGTTTTTATGTTTCTTTCATCAATGCTTTTATAAAGTCAAACTATTGTAATCATGGAATAAATAAATATATATATGTTAATTAAAAGAGACTTTTTAAAGTGATTCTATCGCAAGTCAACGTTTTTCACTTTAATTCTATGAAACTACATTGCACAAAATCATAATCAAACATCGTGCTTACAAATTTGTATATAAGTATACTTTTTTAAGGATAAAGAAAAAATCCTTTCAAGGCAGGTGAAATTAATTAAGAGACAATGTACAATGAAAGATAAATTGTTATACTGTATGATTATTTTCATTATTATCTAAATATGTCGACATATCTATATTGAAACTAAAGGAGTATATTTTTAATCCATTGTATGCATTGAAGTTCTAGTTTATTGTCCAAAAAATTATGCTTCTTCCAAATATTTAACTGATATCTGATTTTTAAACAGTACCTCTTGAGAACTGTACAAGAACATTCAAAGATGTCCCCTCTCTTAATACATTATTCTGTGAATATAGTTTAAATTGAGTACACGTGTTGCGATAACCTTTTCTAGTTATGAATGTAACTCGTTAAAACGTTGCAAAATTGAATAATTGTTAAATGTTAATTAAAATATGATTTGGAGATGACTTACATCGTCTACTGAAATTTCAAAAGACGCTTCGAATCCAGCATTTATCACTCTGAAAAGGTAATATCTGTTTTGTGTCACAGTAAACGTCTCTAATGGAAGGTAAGGCTTCTCTGGCATGTCTGGATCATTAAGGATGTATCGTCGTCCTGTAAAACAAAAATTAAGGATGTATTGTCTTCCTGTAAAACAAATTAAGGATGTATTGTCTTCCTATAAAACAAAAATTACTTTTTGTGAAAGTAGTTTTTGATATATATGTACATAAATTGTCTTTCCATAAAGAAATATTTTTAATGTCGTTTTCCCGTTAGTTCAAGTAATAAACAATTTTATCCCCTTCCTATAAAAGTAAGCACCAAATTAGAATTTAAAAATTGTTCATGCATTTTCATTACATATTTTCCCCTTTTCTTACGCAAGAGTAAACAAGCTTTTTCTTGAGTACAAAACTTTCCATTCAAAAGTCCATGGTGTTGTAAAATCAACTCACTGAACCAATAATATAAAACTTTGAGCTGTCTTTGATATCCTTAATTTTACAAACCGCGGCCATTCACAAGGCCAGTTCGGAGTTGAAATAATTTTCCGGAACCATCTGGATGTCGAACAAGTGGCAGACAAGTCCCGTCATATTCCTCCAAACTGAATTTTAATAAAGGAAAAGCCAAAATTACGAACAGGAATCGACCTCATAAAAACTGCAATCAATGTATTCAATGTTAAAAAAAAAAAGAAAGCTCATCGTACTCCGGAAGTTGTAGACATAGAATCAGGTGACCGGAAGGAATAATGATACATGTGGAGATAACAACCAGATTCCAGTTCAAAAGTCCACAAAACAATACAAAATAGGAGCAGACCAAACACGGACCTCCAAAACATGAGAGGTGGGATCAGGCGCCTTGGAATAGTGGGCATCCCCTGCTGACCGATTATATCCCCATATTGACTGGTCAAACCCGCCGTAATGAAACAAATTTTTCAATACATTTCCACAGTTTTTTTTAATCTTATGGAGATAGAAAACAGTTTTCAAGTTTAAAGTCAATACAATTCAAGACGGACATTTAAAACATCAGAGTTTGGGTTAGGTATCATTGAGGAATGAGGATATCCCCTGTTGACAAGTCAAGTCTGGTGTGCTCCTTGTCATGATCGGGAAATAACGGGAAATCAGTGGACATATAAATATGTAAATATTTAATATCTAAACGCCATCTTATATCGTAATAATAATTCTTTGGAATTAATGGTTTTAGCAACGCAAGGCAAAGTTGTGTTTACTGCATTGAAAATCGCATCTGCATTTGCATAGTCCTTGATAATTAAAATTTGAGATAAATATTTTTATCCAAATATATGTTTTAGAATCCAACCACTATTAATATAATCGCTTAAATTATCACTGTGTTATGGTAGTGTCTTATCATGCACATGTTAGTGCACATTTTAAAACCAGAATGAAAAAAAGATCATTATAGTTATAAGCAAGGTTTCTTACAAGCCAAATTCCCCTCTGTCGGCCTGTATCTGTTCTTTTGCAGTCTGTGTCCTCCAATCCATTAGAACAACAGAGAACTCGGCATCAACATCAGGCACTGGTTCGCGTGGGATTCTCTAAACACATCAAACTATGCCATTAAGTTGACTGAAAGATTACTGAATCTCTACTGAAAGATGATATAATCTCTACTGAAAGATAACTGAATTACAGGGCCCCGCCTTTCAGTGACTTTTCCAGACATTTTGGTGTCCGTTCAGTAGACTAAATAGTGGAGGTTTATCCTGTGATATATGTTTTCACTGAATTGATAAATCAAAAATACTTAAAATAAGTAACTGAGATGAAATTTTCAAATTAACTAGGGCATTGTTTCAATGGTTCTCCTAGATGTGTTCTTGAAATGGAAATTTGTTTTTTGATTAAAAATATGCTCTTAGAAAGTTAGAAGGAGCTTTATAAACTATTTAAATTGATAAGTTGTATCCTTTTTATGTAAAAATATGTAAATCTTACTATAGATGGTCTTATCCTGGGTAACACAATGAGAGCACCTGCCAACCCATCAGACCGCATACTCCCTGTATGTGAGTGATACCAGTGGGTTCCAACAGGTGAAGCAACAAATCTGTAATATTTAATTAATTCCACATCGTATGTTTGTCTATTCCCTCAATTTTGATTAGTATTTTTCTTAAAGAATTATTCATTTTTTTTTAATATTCAATATTTAATACATTGCAGAGACCAATTATTCAATATTTTTAAAGGGAGTTTAAAAGGATTTGTATGTTCTGAATCAATTCTATTTTAGATTTCATTATAAAATGTAATATTCAAGAATGATAAGAGTATTGAGATGTTTATTTTTATTATTTGGATAGAGATAGTTTGAACATTTATGTTTAGTATCATTTATGTGAACTTAATTAAAGTATTTTCCCAAATTTGGATTTATATATCTACCTTGGTGATGATATGGGTCCAAAAACAAAGCTTTAATATTGTTAGTGATAACCTAAAATGAATTGAACGTCCTCCGCTTTAAGAGGATATCATTGTGAATATTCATTCTTGTGAAATCTGCATCAATTTTGGTTCAAACAAACGTTTTGTATGTTAATTGTATGCTACCATTAATTATCGAAAAGGAAAACAAGGGTACCTGTACTCGAAAGTTTGTTTTGGCAAAATAGGACATTGTGATATCATGTCAACTCCATCCATAAAAGGCGTTCCTCTTTGTGTAATTCCATGCCAGTGAATTGTCACTCCCTCCACCTCCAAAAGGTTGTGCACGAGGATAGAAACCTGAATTCAAATTAAGTTTGAGTCATAAAATTGATCACATGTCAACTGTAGATGAATAATACTGTTGAGGTTTTAAATACAAGCACTACAAATAGAACAATATTAAATTGTATTATAATAGCAGATGTAAACAAATCAATCATACTTATAAAAACACATCTATTCGTCATCTTCACTATTTTAAATGTTTTAAATAAAAGAAAATTATGACAACAGATTTAGATTTTTATTTCCCCTATAAACATACATGTATATCATGCACTTACAATTTGATCCTCGTAAACAACAATATTAGGTCCAGGTATTTGTCCGTTGAAAGCTAGAGCCAACTTGTAATTACCGTCTCCAGGGCTAACGTTTTCTTTGAACTCTGCGTAAAAAAATAAATTCAACTGGTTATTACGCACTGGTCTGCAAAAAATTATAAAGGACAGATGATATAAACAAAAACTGGATGCCTAGATAGGTATATATTTCTTGGTCTTCTTTCATTGAAAATGATGTAAAAAAATAAATTTCTAGAATATATAGAAATTGTAAACCTTCTATGATGTTTAAAATTCTACCTCTCTGAAACCATCCTTATTAATCTATACAAATATTTTTCACATCAAATCCAATTTTTGTGAGAATTTGAAAAGAAATTCAAAAAAACAACGCGGTTAAACTTATTCATTTTACTCATTAAAACATGACTCAAGTTTTTATTTTCAAATTTTTTGACAAAAGTTTGTTTGTATTATCTGTCCTTAAATGATCAGGAATTTTACTGCTCCCTACTTTGTCTAGACGCCTTTTCCTGAGATGAACCTCAGAGTGAGTTCACCTCATTTGAACTTCCGCGATGATTATTCGGGTTTTTCCTCTTGACCAACCATAGATTTGCTTACAGTTTTTTTATCGACCAATCAAATTGCGTGTTTCAAAACATGTGTCGTTGTGAATGTAAACTTGGCAGACGCCAATACTGAAAAGATTAAACTACTTTTCTGGTAAATGTTGAGTATTAATTGTTTAATAATATTGTTTTCTATTTTTAACTAGTTGTTAAGTTGTTGAAATATAAATATAATGTTTGTTACACTACGTATTATATTATAAGTGTTTATATTTCATGGAGACAATAACTAAAGTTTCAAAAGTGTTGTAAACTTCCTGATCATTTAATAAAACGGTTATTACGCACTGGTATACGAAAAAATTATATTTGATTGATTATAATGACTCCTGTTTGAAATGCAGCGGATGTATAGGAATAATGTGTCCGCCCATCTCTCACCACAACTTTCCCTCTACCACTAAAATAATCAATGAATCTTTTAAAGTATCTTTATTACACATTTAAAGTCCCATTGGAGACGTTTTTTCGTACAGGGAGATACCGGATGTTTCCTACAGCAAATCATGAAAACTCTCTTTTTTCTATAACACAGGAATACCAATTTCATCCACAGTAAATCCTAAACCGATGACTTAATATTTAAATAGACTTTTATAGAAATCGATTTCATTTCACTACATATTGAAATTTCTCAAGATTTTCAGCCTTAAAGTCTTAAAAAATATGTGATTCTAGTATACAAATAGAACTGCCGTTTAATTGAAAGAAATTGCGTGTAGCTTTTTGCTTACGTGACTGTGTTTGTTAACATTAGTTTCACTTCATCTAAAATACATTTTGCCAGGTATTAGAATTTCTGGTTTTAGTGGAAGTTAAATTTCAAGTGTCCAAGTGACCATTTTAAATGCATTTCATATTTTCAAATGAACAAACTGAGAAAGAAAGGCATACATGTATATGGAAATTGTTAATCGTTATTAAACCTAAAACATATATTAATAATTTTTTTAAAAATCTTATCCGATAGATGATTTCAAAATTATATTTGTTAAGCATAGAAATAATGTATTGATTAAAAAAAGGAAACAAAACAACATATAACATCATTTATTACAAAACATTGTCCATTGCCATAAGATATTGGTCAGGGAAGTGTGTAATTTAAACGAAGTTGGGGAAATAATTACTCTGTTTCTTATTATTATTTTTTTTTTCTTCTTCTTCTTCTTCTTCTTCTCTTCTGGAACTTTTTTGTCCGGGAATGATCTTGTAAATGCATTATAAGGTAAAACCTTTTTAGATTGCAAGCATGTTAAGATTTTAAGAAGGTCATTTTGCGCGCACGTGCTTGCAAGAGCGTGCACGTGCAACACGTGAAATGACCGATTTAATTGATATAGGCGTAACTTTTTTAATTTTTGATGAAATACTTTGAAACTTATAATATGAGGATATATTAGTAGCATGGACAATATGACATGGTCAAAATAGCAAGATCTCACGCGCATGCACGTGCACTTCGCTCTGATTGGCTGAAACTAAAGCAATATCTTTCTTGTTTTTCGAAACCCTTTGAAATTTTGAACATAATGCATTAGGATATAAAATGATATATGGCAATTATCATATATGCACGTTTGCTGCAAAAAATATTTACAATTTTATATAACTCTTTTTGGATTTTGCAATTCAACCAAACAGGATGGGAACTGGAACATAGATAGATATAATGGACTACTACAAGAAGGTATGGTCACCATGCATATGCATACACGTGTGTTTTGACTTTATGATAGGCTGAAGCTCTTAAAGAAGGGGGTAATAAAAAAGGTATTTAAGAAAAAGTAAAAAACATACGCTCTTGAAATTTTAAACATAGAAATTTGAGAATATCACCTTTATTTTTATTATGTTTTCATATAAAGCCTTTGTGTCTGTCATATTTTGAAGCATTCCATAAAAACAGGGCAATTCGTTAATTTTTGGCTGAAACTTTTAGCTATAACTACCTTGGTTTTAACATACGATAGTATGTAATGAACATCTTACATATATGTACAATATATGTATTACGTGCATGTTATATAGCAAATAGTTCAAAAAAAACACTTGAATGAGTATTTTTTAAAATACTTTTGTAAATACTTTAATAAAATTTGCTATATAAAATATATAAATTGTGTAGCAAGATGATATTTTCCTATATAATCCTGCAATGCTAAAATTTGAATGAACCTGTACACTTTGGAGACGTGGTTAAAGTCTCAAATACATAGAGTTTGCTTATTAAATGAAACTTACCCATAACTAAAAGGGAGTTCGCATGTACACTGGAAGTTAATGCACTAGTTATATATGAAACAAATAATTAAATGAACATATTTCTCTCTAGTTCTCAATATCCTAAATGCTTATAAGGTAAATAACATTATGATTACAAGCTGAAGATTTTAAGGCTATCTTTTTTCCCCTCAAGTTTACATCTAATTATTTGTAAATGGATCGAATTTTTTTAGACCTACCTACTTATCTTGGTTTAAGATCGTCAATATTTTCTATAATCTGGACATGACATATGGCAAGTTAAATAAAAATCAGCACAGTGAAATAAATAATTTGCCACAAAAAATATCATAATTTTTAAACTTTTGCAACAAGAGGAAAAGGCCTTAAATTAGAAATGTCATCTCCTTTGATATATTAATCCAAATGTTGAAATATATCGTGTTCGAATTGATTTTTTCCTGAAGTAAGCATTTTGAAAATTTAATAGGTTTGATCGAACACAAATGTATATCAGAATCGTATGAAAGTATCTGCATTATGACCATTAAAAAAAATAAATTATACTCGTACATTCAAATTGTATGCTTAAATATATATAAATAAAGTTAAGCAAAGTTACAAGGTTTCTCTTTACAATCTTTCTGATTGGTAAATATACTTTAAATATTCGTATAATGTAGAATTGCAACGAGTACTGCATATTGTTAAAAAAATATTTAATAGTTTTAAAATTTAAAACAATTAAATTAGTAAACTATAATTAGAAGGCATGCTATTAGCTGTCACTTGGATGTTATGTCATTAATGCTTCAGGGCAAATTCACACCAAGATTGCTTCCTGTTGGGAAATATCGAATCTATCTTTGTTTTTGCTGTCTATTTACTCTTAATAGACTAGCTTTGAAACTATAATAGAAAATATACAGGATTTTAAGACATAAATATAAGACAATCAAAAAACTAAATAGAAAAAAAAACACTTACTAATATTGAAGGGAAAACTGCTTGTATTTAAACGATATTTACACTCTCACTTACATTTTAGACAAAAAGAAAAAAATATGTACCTTTTCTTGTAAGGGGAATGAAAGTATCCGAACAGGAAATATTTGTGATCCGTCTCTGCAGGAGTCCATTTCTAAGGACGACAGGGTTATAATCCGGGTCCTTAATATCTGTATAGTTGTACCACATCATAGTGAACTTGTAATCGACGTTAAATTCAAAGTAGCAGACGTTATCTCTACAGTTCTCGTGCAGTCTCACGACTCGACAAGTACATTCACCCGCAAAGATGACCAAGAGAAAAATTTTCAGAATCATGCTGATTGAATGATCTTCGTTGAGTTGGGAATATATCTCCCTTGATCCAATCTTTTCCGTCCTTTTACAATTGCTATGTTGCAAATTTCTTACCTATGTGATTTGACCTTCGAGTAGTAATTAGGTGAAATTTTAATGCATGCATTTATAACAAAGAAAAGGAGTTTTTATGAAACAAAATGATTTTTAATTTTTGTCTTTGGTCTAAAGTTCAATGATTTTCATTCAGTTAATTTTTACCCATTCGGTTCAATCTGAACTTGGAAAAGTTGTTTCTTTACGAAAATAGGGCAAAATGTAGCTCACCTGAGTTCCAAATACAATTTGAGCTTTTCAAATGGCAAAATTTTCCATGTCTTTCGTTGTCGTTGTATGTTGGCATCCTTGGCGTTTTTTTGGCGTTGAAAGTCATGTTGTAAACTTTTCACATTGTCATCAACAAACCACTGGGCCAATTCAACCGAAACTTGCTACAAAGTTCCTTGGGTAAAGGGGATTATTTGTCTCAAAAATTTTTTGTCAAGGAAAGTTGCTTTTGAATTTAGAAAAAAATTTGGTTTTTAAAAAATCTTTTCTCACTTTGAACCACTAGGCCAGGAAAGATGAAACTCATTGGAATCATGCTCAGGTTGTGTATGTATTCAAGCTTGTTAGCAAATCATGGAACCTCAGGAACACGTTGCGATGTATATAAATGTACCATAAAAATTTTAAATAAGAAATATATAGAAAAATATTTAAAAATCTTTTTCTCAAGAACCACTGGACCAGGAAAAATGAAACTCATATGGAAAATTTTAACAATCCTCAGGTAGTGTAGAAATTAGAAATTTTATCACCTTTGATATATTTATTAACCCCCATTTGGTAGGGTGTTTGATTTTATTCCCATATAAAGTTTAACATATGAATGTACAGGAAAAATCTTTTAAAAATTTCTTCTCAAGAACCACTGGACCAGGAAAAATGAAACTCATATGGAATCATCCTCAGGTAGTGTAGATTCAAGTTTGTTCAAATCATGACCCCCAGGGGTAGGGTGGGGCCAAAATTCCCAAATAAAGTTTAACATATGAATGTACAGGAAAAATCTTTTTAAAATTTCTTCTCAAGAACCACTGGACCAGGAAAGATGAAACTCATGTGGAATCATCTTTAGGTAGTGTAGATTCATGTTTGTTCAAATCATGACCCCCTGTTGGGAAAGGGTGGGGCCAAAATGGCTATTTATCAAAGTTTAACATATAATATAAAAAAAATCTTTAAGAAAAATATAAGACAAAAAACCACTGGAAAAAAAGATTAAATCATTGTGGAAAACTGCTTCTATTTAGTTACATTCAAATTTTTAGACAAATATGTACCTTTTCTTGTAGGGTGGGGCCAAGTTGGCTGATCAAAGTTTAACGTAGGAATATACAGGAAAATATATAGGAAAAATCTTCTTCTCAAGATCCATTGAGACAGGAAAGATGAAACTAATGTGGAATCATCCTCAGTAGTGTAGATTCAAGCTTGTTCAAATCATTGACCCCCAAAGGTGGGGCTAAAATGGCCAAAAAGTTTTAAATAGGAATATATAGGGATAAATCTTCTTCTCAAGAACCTTTTACAACTGGAAAGATGAAACTACCTTTGGATTTGACCTCAGATAGTGTAAATTCAAGCTTGTTTATAACAAGAAAAGGAGTTTTTAAAACAAAAGATTAATAATCTTTCAGCAAACTTGTCAGTTCTGATTTCATGTGTGATTTTTCCAACCAATTGCTCAGGAAAAGTTGTTTCCCCTGGGCCTCTTGTTAATGTTATTTGTAAATAGAAAAAGTCAATATCTTAGCTCTAATAATATATTCAAATTTTGATTATTTGCAATATCTATTTATTACTTTCTGAGTGTTTGTTTTAAAAATATATTGAAACCATTACAATTTGTGATTTTTAATGATTTTTTTATATAACGTGACAAGCGTCAAACAAAATACAAAAACGTTATAAAAATTTGGGATACCAAAGAGAGATAACTCTATAATTTTGGTAAAACTTGTGTTTTTCACTATAGAAATTAACGGAAAACGGAAAATATTTTTAAAACACCTCCCCCCACCCCCACAAAAATTCCTTTTTACAGGTAATATGGACTGTCACTTTACAAATTTATGCCAAAGCTTTTTGTGTTTCACGGGGGAAAATATGTTTATAGACAAAAACCGAAAATAAATGTTGATTTTTCACCAATTTTAAAGCTAATTACAACTAAATAGTTGTATTTTATTAATTTATATATGTTTTATTTATTTGTGTAAAACAGAAAAAACAAAAAACATGAGATACATTTTATCATATTTAAGACTATTTCAAAATATGATGATTCTTGAAAGTTCGATTTCACTAGAAAATATCGTCTACCCCCCTTTTTTCAAGAGCTGAAATTAATGATAATTTACTATCTAGCGCTGGAATTAAAATGATTTAATGGCCAATTGCCATTAATATTGAATTTAATGGGTGCAAAATGTAGGCGGGAATCAAGAGTTAGAGTTCGTAGTTCTTTCCACTTATACATATACGATAATAATATAATCTATAATTAAGTCTTAATTTTTCTTTGTGTATAGAAATGTTTAAGATTATTTCTTAAATATTTTAGTAAAGATTTTAAAAAATATTTATATAAGTATAGATTATATTGTCAAAAATGAATATTTCGTCATGAATAATTTGATTAAATACGTGCCAGAATACGTGATTTTTTTTTATTTACCTTTAAAATAATGCAGGGGTAATTATAACTACATGTAAAGTATTTATCAAAATATAACCGGTCTTCAATGATTAATATTTCAAAATCAATTTTCAGAAGAACAACCGATCAGATTGAAAATGACATCTGACCAGATTTTTACACATTGGGATGGGCGTGGGGTGGTAAGGTTAGCATGTACAGTGTACAATATATCGACTGGTCAGACGAAAGGTCTTAAAAAAGGTTCCCAACCAGCGTGGTCAACTAACAGGTAACTATATATATATATATACAATGTACATGTGCAGTGACAGTGAAAGCATCAATTTTAGTTAAATCCGTTTGGCAGATTTTAAGCCTTCCACTTAAGGACCCTCTCTCCACCTGTGTTTTTGGACATTGAGAATCCACGCGGTCGACCATTCCGGTAGAAAGAACATTGAGATAAATGATCTGGTTGTAAATTTTGAAAGTCAACGGCGACTAGCTGCGCAGAGTAATCATATACGAGTGTTGTCTTTTGTATAAAATGATAATTTGGCAAATTATAGGGCTTCAATTTATTCTATAAAAATCCTTAAAACATTGCTGCTTGAAATGTTCTTTATAAGTTTGGTAATTTGCTAAAGTTATTTCTTAAACTTGTCTATAAACATGACAAAAGAATCGTATGATAAAAACACCAGATGGACTTTCAAAACTGTTTTAAAATGTTCTTTACGTGTATAAACTATTTTAAAACATTTTTATTAAATACATTATTCTTTTTATTCGTGTAACCTGCATCTTTTTTTTTATTTGAAAGGAAAACTACAAGCATATGAATGTATGTGTACATATAGGTACGTATGTGTATGCTAAATGTAAAGTGTTTACTTTAGCTAAGAATAAACTCCAGTTAATTAAACGAAAAGAAAACAATATCTCTTCTGCATATTTTGCTCATTCATTCAATATCTTGATTAGTGGAGAGGTTTCATATCCACGCATACATGAATACGCTCTTCTACATGCATTGCTCCTTCACAGAAGATCTTTCTTGATTAGTACACAGGTCTTTTGCATAAATCTGGATACATATTACAAAGCGGTGAATCTTTAAAGCTCGATCTCTGTGTTACTGCCCCAGATCTGTAGCTTGGTTTAATTCCTGTTGGAATTTGAAAAAAAAAATTAAGCATAATACAAATGACTGTCTTATTTAATATAATGAATCACACTTATTTATAGAAACATTATTTCGGTGTTTTGCTAGATATAATGAAGGGGTACTTTTAATTAACAATTATTATTATTATTATTGTTATTAAAATATTAAAGTTATGTTTTTAATAATTTCAAAAGGTGCTCAGAAAGAGTCATGAGCACCATTTTGTAGTTAATAGCATATAAAAGTTTCGTTCAAATTCCCTGTCTTAAATGCATATCAATCATAAAAGTAATGCAATTACCTTTTGCAAGAAGTTTCGCTTCCTGTTTATTCAGTGACGTCAACCATTGTTCCGGATTGAACCGGAAGTTATTGCATGTGGGAAAGTTAGGTGGGACCGGAGGCATATCCGAAATATCACCTTCCTGTACAACCAAACTCATTCCTTCCTCCTGGTGATGTGTAAGATGGCAGTGCATGAACCAGAAACCTTAGTAATGAAATTATATAGCTTTAAAATCACATATTTTCGAGGGTCAAATTTTCGTGGTTTGGGAATAAAATATTGGTTAATTTTGGGGATTTGATTTCGTGGTTGAAGAATTCTTCAGTAGTACAGTGTATTATATGTGAAAAATTGCATTTCGTGGTGGACATAAATTCGTGGGTCTCTTCATACCTTAAAAACAACGAAAATTAATCCCCCACGACAAAATAGTGATTTCAAAGTAAAATCAGCCTAACGCAGCAAATATGGGAGGCGATAAACGGGGAAGAAAGAGTATATTCTTTGTTCAGATTTTACATTTATCGGTTTTTTTAATTGGAAGAGCATACTGAACTTTCATTCCTCCTTACTTCCTCTAAATTACCTCCCTCTCCCTTCCAAATCAACAGGATTTACGATCGAATAATGAAACAATCTTCGAAATTTTAGTAAATGAATTAGGAGAGTGAAAACGAGATTGAATTCTCATCTTTAAAATGGGGAAAGTCCTTCCCAAAACAATGTCGATAAAATAATTTTTCACAACTGGTGACTTTCCATGTACACTAGATGAAATATATTGTAGTTTCTACAGTCTACAGGCTTATAGAAGGAAGAAATTCTTTGTTCAAAATCTCGCATGAAATAAATGTACGTACATCTATTTCATGCCAGATTTTGAACAAAGTAATTCTTCCTTCTATAAGCCTGTAGATACGTACTTCTTCACCCCAACCCCTTTTTGTAAAACTTGAAAAATAGCAATTTCATTGATTGACATTTATTGTGAAACCTATTATACTATCTCATTCATGGGTATTGTACTTCAGGTTTTCTTATTTCATTCCCATGAAGGATAAATGCATGCAGCAAATACGCAATTTTACTAATAATTTTTTGGGGGGAGGGGTAAATTCACATGCACAGCTGGTACTTGGGTCCGGGCTTATAAATTTTATGTACTTTATTGATATGTAAAAAATGTACTATACTTTTCTTACATATTATTAATGTACATACATGTACATATTTATATTCCAAGACCCAAGTACCTGTGTGAAAATTAGCTTTCTACGCCATATGAATAGACTGGGTATGTGATACAAAAAGACTATTCAGGAGAACAAAAACACTGAAATGTATTGGTTACTGCACAAAACTTTAAGACTTTGATTGTATTTAAACAATACACTATCCATTAATTTTCTCTTTTAAGTTCTTATGTAAGCAAATTAATTACGAATTATATTGTACTTCGGTTCGTTGCCACGAAGCTCTCAGAAAGGAAAATACATATTTATTACAAAATTATTAGAAAAACCTACTACATGCATGTATATGTAAAAGTCCTCGATAAACATGCATTAATATATTCACAGCTTATACTTTTATCAATGATTTACCATTATTTCAATGCCCATTCACACAAAAGCTTTTTTTTTATATTCATTTAGCTATTATCGCCTTGTTTTTCTTTTTAACATCGGGTTCGATGCCATATATATGATGTTCTAGAAGCTTCCGTCAATTTTAAGATCAGTCAATGAAGAAAATAAATTGTACGTCTCACTTTAAAATCGGTTATCATAACTTATTAATTTTATTCCACTGAAATTAAGTTTTGATTGGATAAGACAGTGATGACATTTTATGGAATAAATAAACGATTGCTTGTTGTCAGTTTCATTAAAAATTGCCAGTAGCTGAGATCCGCCAAGAGAAAACGCTACCGTACTCGCGTCTTTACTATTTCATGGATGTTTACAGAAAATTAAAGTAGACTTTTAATTTAATGTTCGATACTTACTGTGACCTTTAAATATAGTTTACGGATATCACCTTACACTCAGTGTATTGTTAGAGAAGTAAGTAAATTTCTGGTCTTAAAGTAAAGTCTTACCGCGAAAATTGCTTTGTGAATTATTGATTTAATCTGTTTTATATTTATAATTTATTTCTGTCTTATACCATTGTAAGTTACATAATTTATTTTAATTTTAAAGTTACTTTGTAGATCCTCTAGTGATAGAAAATCGTTATATTCATCTAGGAGATCTAACACATGAGTAATACCATATTCATACCACAATTTATAAATGACAGATTTTTTCCAATTTTAAAACTTTTATTCAACCATAAAGGTTGATTAACATATTCAATCCAGTCTGTAATTTCAGATTTATCTTGGATTTCCTGAAAAGCATTGAAAGTATCCTTCCAAAATTGATAGTGTAAACACTTCTTAAAGTTTGATAAACATACAGATCCTGTATTTATTAGTTTGTTAGTATCAATTATATTTTCAAGCAAAATTTTTCATTTGGAGTTTTTGTCATTAATAATTCTCCTTATCCATGTTGATTTCAAAGCTTTTATGTAACTGCCTATATCAATCATTTAATTTTATCAACATTTGATTTCCATAGAAAATTGAAAATAATATTGCTCAAGTTTTTCAGAAAATTGATTTGCGGGGTTGGTAAGGATATAAATATATGGTTAAGCTGAGATACAAGAAGTGATTTGATTAGAGTTATCCTCCCAATCGGAGTTAAGTTTCTTTTATTCCACTGATCTATAATTGATTTGATTTTAACACGTTTTTTGTCATAATTTAATCTAGTAATCTTTGAAAGATCTACATCATAATAAATTCCAAGAAGTTTAAAATTGGTTGTTAAAATAAATTCCATATCAGGGCAAACTCTATCATTAGAATATTTCTTACTACCTATCCATACCACTTGGATTTTTGACCGATTTATCTTTAGTCCTGACATATTATAAAATTTAATTATTTCCTTCATTAAAGCCTGAAGTGACTTTTCTGACCCATCTAAGATTAACATTGTGTCATCAGCATACTGTGACATTAAAAATTCAGTATTTCCTATTTCAATTCCCTTGATGTCTTTATTGTGTTTAATCTTTACTGATAATATCTCCGCACAGAGGAGAAATATATATGGTGAAATTGGGTCCCCCTGTCGGCAACCGCGTCCTAATTTGAAAAAGTTGGATAAAAAGCCAGCCTGAGTCACACATGAGTTTGAGTTACATTGAAAAGTTTTTATCCATTTACAAAAAGATTGTCCAAAATTGAAAAACTTTAAGGTTTTTTCGATAAATTTCCATGACACTGTGTCAAAAGCTTTTTCAAAGTCTATTTATAATCTATTTATATGCAGCACTTTTCTACACTTTGCTTGTAAGCCTATTTATTAGATTTAATAATGATCATGGATCTCATATCATATACTAGTTATATATTTTGTTTGGTTTTTTTTCAGGAATGTTCAAATGCTCGTTACTCACTGTTGCTGTGCATTCTAGGGATATTTTGATAGTCAGGCAATCAACAATTGAACAAACATTATTTATCTGTTTAACAACAGATATATTTCAGGCATTTTCCGTGTTGACACTGTCATTGAACCCACCCATCCCATCCCCATCCCACCCACCCCCTTATTTCATATAAATACGCTATCCACACGTTAGGTGTTTGTGACCATCTGTGTGCAATAAAGAGATTTGAAGTTATACTTTTGAACAAACATTCTGAGAGTATTGCATTAGCAATACCATGTCCCCTACCGGGATTCCCTTTTCTTTTTAGGATGTCATCTTATACCATGATTATAAAGAAGTGCCCCGAAAATGTTGACATTTCGGTAAATATTTGTTCATTGTTGAAACGCAGATAGGTTAAGGACTCCCATAGGTACATGTACATCAGCCTAAGCAGATCTTCGAGAAATGACTTCACTGTAAGACTGTACATATGAATATCGGCAAATAAACACCAATTTTCTTTTTCATATAATCTTACATGTAGTATTTCTCATAAATATCGTAAAATAAATTAATGTGTAATTTATCTTGTCATTATAACACTATTTGAATGTAGAATTAAAGCCACCTTGATCTCGCTGTACCGATTGAGATGAAATCACGGACTAGTTTGGCATGCAATTTTTCTGTTCTTTAGACGTAGACCAAGCTATTATTGAAGCTTGTAAGCTTGTAAATAAGAAAATCTAAATTGAATAAGCGTGATCTGAATAAAACTGAGTCATATTTTTGAATGCAATAATCAATATTCTACAGTCTAAATAAACTGAAAACAAATAGGCCTCATATAAAGCCATAGTAATGCACATTATCATTTATACATATACATACACTGTACTACTCTTTTTCTAGCTCTAACATTAAATCTGAATTCTACGATACTAATCATACTATATCCAGTGAAAAAAAAAAACGTGATTAAATTCCATTCAAAAAGAATTAGACCAGGAATTATATATTGTGGCTTAAGGTAAATTTCTGAAAAACTGAAACTGCTTAATTTTAGTTAACAATGCATTGAATATTATTTATGAGACCTTTCATGATTGCATGTCTAACAAAAATGGCGTAATTTTCTGGCAATTAAATACATTATGACGTCAAGAAATGGTTAATTTTCTCATATTCAGAAAAAGTCTACAAAATAGCCAATTTTAAATCTATTTTTCAATATTTAATATAGAGCGCAACCTCTAAAATAGGCAACTAGTAAATGATAGAACTTTTTCTGATGATTACAAGACATGTTTTATTTTTTTAGATCAGAGGGTGTGCTCATATTATTTTTCTTTTCTGAAAGTACTCAACTATCCCCGCTTTCATTAAAATTCAGTTTTGCAATTCCATAAAGCCTGTGATTCAAGATCCAGAGTTTAAGGAGAAATTTTTAATAGGAAATAAAAGTACTATCTCTCTACTTTATATTGATGCTTAAAATGGACTACAAAGTGTTAATCAAAAATTGGTATATGTACACACAGGGTCGTTTTCTGCATAAACTGAACAGAGCTCTTTGTAGGTGTATGTTGCAAATATGGCAAATGCCAGTGTAGTTTTAAATGAATTTTAATATTGTACGTATGTATAATTTCTAAAACGAGGTAAATTATTGACAAAAAGGTTGATAAAACAAGAAAATCAGCAATCTCATTTAAAGTCATCATTTCGTAAGCTCTATGGTCGATACAATGACCTGCAAGCAAATACAATTTATCATTGAGCCATATTTGACTGACGTTTTTCATGCAAATTGTTAGTCCTTTATTTTCACACTGAATTGACGTCGGATTGTTTCCGTTATTTCCCGATCAAGACAAGGAGCACACGGTGTGTGTGACCGGTCGACAGATGATGCTCACTCTTCCATGGCAACTGATCCCATATCTGATATTTTGGAGGTCCATGTTTGCTCTGCTACTGTTTTGTATTGTTTTATGGATTTTGATCTTGAATACTGTTCGTTATATCCATATGTTTCATCATAAAGAAATGAGATTGAAAGTGCTTTGTGTAGTAAGTGCTACTGCTTGTTTGATGAATCGGAATTAAAGTATAGAACTGATCATAAATGTTAAAAATAGACAGGGTATCACATGTTAATTATCTTAAGCCTGTGAGGGAGTGAATCATAAATAAGTTAAAAGAAAAGAGAGAAATGCATCTGCACGTGAGCTTGAATATTGTTCGTCATATTCATGTATTTCATTCCGATATTTTTGGAATATTAACCATCTTTCCTATAATAATATCGAAAAGTCGACTAAGGAAAAAATAGATGTTGACATTCCTATAATATTAAGCATATCATATTAAATACCTTGATAATTACATCTAAATACCGTGGTATATAAAATTTGAAAATTAAAGTGAGTACCTGGGTTATCTGCCCTTAGCCTCACGATGACGTAACCATTCACAGGAACAATGATGGTATCTTTCAAAGGAGGATCAACTAGATTTAAACCAGGAATATTTCCAGTATTCCAAGATGGATCCGCCCATGTTGCTTCTGTACAAAGCTGATTTAAACATCTTATATCCGGGTTTCTTGCAATAGCATTTCCGGTTTCCGGGTCATACACGGGATATCCAATTTTTAGGATATGAAAATGATGGCCATGCAAATGGATTGGGTGATGAACTTTGACATCACCTTAAAAAAGAAATAATGTAATGAAAAATTACCTTGTTTGTTTCCCTGGAAGATGAGAAAGAGAGAGAGGGAGAGAAAATTTCTTACTGAATGTGAAGAAGACAATGTCGATTATATTTCCCAGCTCGAATTTCAGTATATGTGTGCATCTGCAGCCTCGAGAAGTACACGTTTCCGGACCACAAGGAGTAATAGCACCCAGGCCAGGGAATGTCTAAAATTCAACTAAAACTTTTTTAATTACTTTTTTGTTTATCAATAATCTTCTTTCTTGTTTGTAATAAACATCACAAGTACTCACAACCTAAATACTTGGAAACTGAATGATGGTTCTACACAAATTTTGCGAGCGGAATCATTCCACAAGACAAACAGCAAATATATTGATATCTACATTGCAGTCATGCAAAATAAGGTACGAAATCTTGTGGCTATTGTGGACTGATGAGCCATATATCTGCGCAAATTCATATCTAACTAAATATGAGGCATTTTCCCGGCAAAATCATTGGGTTTTCAATCGGTATACTTTTTCTTTTTCATCGACTATTGGAGTTAAGAAGTATTCAATTTCCATACGGAAAATGTAAGAATTAAAAAACACTTTCCTAGAATGCCAAGTCTACATGTTTCAACTATGGTCAACTCTTTCCAGTAAATTATTGCATATTAATGCCCCATGACTTCTACTGGTCTATAACTCATTATGGCAATAAGTTGTAAAGTTACGCATTACACTACCATTACTACAATAATTTGTAGATAAAATTACTATTACCATTACTCTTTTTTCTTGAAGTGATTCATTAAATTTCCATTTCTCTCATAAAGTAGTGTATTGCCATTACCGCTACTTTTTGGGGTATACAAAAATAGAGATACAAATCTTAGCAACTATTTTCATAATTTCAATCCCTTCAAAATTGAACATAATGAATGATAATTAAAATTTGATTTCAAGTACCTGCGTGTATTTAACACACTGAAAACAACTCACTTATCCTATCATTATTCAGAATAGGAAATTCAATTGGCACTAAGATAAAATGTACGATATGCACTATTCTGTGTAACTGTTGAAGTCACAAAAATCAGTTTAATTTTGTGGGCACTTCAACACGTCAATAACCCCTCAATAAAACTCTAAATTAATAACACAATAAAGACGTATATTATTTGGATGGATTACCTTTTAAATCATAGTACTCAGAAGTACAGAGTGCCGGGCTCATTTACAGAGTAGAATGGATTTCTTACATGAATCACGTTTATATTCTGATGAAAAAATTATTTTAAAACTATCAATATAAATGATAAGACACTGACAGTGATTTTTTCAATCCTAATACCACGGTCCAATTTTGTTAGAATCAGAATTAATCTGGTACCGCAGCTGAATGTAAACAATCAGGCCAGTCTGGTTCCCTCTCCTGCTTTACCTCGTATGTGTAGAGAACTACGGTAACACTGATTATCAAAAATCCTTACGCGAATGAACTATGTTCTTTGACTTATGAAGTTTTCAAAGTCATTACTACAAATGTTTATTTTATATAGATAAAACTTCGTTTTATTTTTGTTGCTTTATTTAGCGTTTGTATTATCTCAAAAGCGGTTGAGAGTAAGAACTATATTTTTGCACGTAACTGTAAAATGGCGACTATTATGTTAACATCCTGCCTTTGAACAGGATCACATAAGCCGGCAATTGCTCTTTGAGCAATAAGCCCGGCTAAAAATTGAATGCAATGAAAAACTTTTTATACGGTAATTCATTTTTAATGTTTTATATGTAACATTGCAAATTTGCTCTTCTGAAAGTAGTATATGGATTTTTCATGGTAATCTCAAGCTACATGTAGACCCAGCAATTCATTAAAACCTTCCACATCCTTCTTTTCAATAATTGTGATTCTTTGCATTGTAGTGGTCAGTTGAATTTTGTCGATATACTTCCGAAATTCTTTTTTTTTTAGTAAATCATTTGTTTTCTCAGATTTGAGATTCAGTGACGTTAAAGTTTAACTGTTCCTTCTTCTATAGTTTTTTTTTATTCATTTGAAATACATCTTTTTTAAGGAAAAAAAACAAGGTATATCCTTTACCGATATTTCTTTAAATCTACGTGTCCAAATAGCGATATGAATAGGGAAATCTAATTTTGATATTTTTATTTGTTCTAAACTAAATGCTCCAGGATAGATATATGGAGTGTTTATCTTAAACATCAATATTCATGACAAAAATGATTACCAAAATGCATAACCAAACAACATCGTAAAATTCTATCCAAGTAGCGATAGATAGAACATTGACTCTAAAATTCCCAAATGTATTTCATATTAATGAGTTTTATTTTTTTATTTCTTTTTTCAGTATATTGTATCAATCGATTATGAAAGTCCCACTTAGTTTTTGAACATGCATTAAATCAGCTCAGTCAATATATTATTTCACAAGAACATTTACCTGAACACGTCAAAACTTCATTTTATAAATAGCTATTACAAGTTCAAGCTACCCTATGATAAACCTCTTTAATTACAAGTGATGAAGCACATCAAAATTCTGATTTATTTTTAAACACGGCATTGTAATTATAAGGCATCTAAAGTTTTATTACTAAGTATCTTTAAATCGATAATTTTACTTGAAGGCCTGTTTCATAAGATTTATAATACATGCCATTATTTCACCATTAAACATTTACTATCAAAATATGAAAAATATTCATTTTGTAAACATTCCTGACAGTAATATTTAATTTTAAAGTCAATGTGCATTGTTATAGGTTTAAAATGTTTTAAATAAAACAAGATAAATAACATAATACTTTGGATGATATTTAAGTACCTTTTACAGACGCTGATAAATGTAATGAATATTCATTTTGTACCACTGTTTTTCATAGTTTTGAATTGTATTCACTTTGTAATTGGAATGCCTTTTTAACTTGAATTAAAGGGGAAAAAAGAGAGATTATCATCACATTTGTCATTATACTCCAAACACAGTTACTTAAAGAGTTAAGTTGAAACTACTTAAAATATTACTACAATATAATATCTTAAAAATATGCCATTCCGGACAAAGTGATATATTTTATTAATCAAATAAAATTCTAATTAGTTTTTACCTGAAGTGCCGAGGTAGGTTTACGGAATGAAATTCCATTAATTAGAGGTCTTCCACCTGAAATATAAAAAAGAAAACGCTGAAAATTCTATCTGCACCATACACTGTAACACCTTGGTAAAACACTCACTTTGACACATATACCAAAGTATACATATAATAACTACCTAAAGACAGTATATTTGGTATAAAAATTAAAGATTGGTTAAATGACAATAGATGCCAGATTTTGAGGTCTGAAGGTATATGTTTTTTGACGACGGTTTCCATGGCAACGGAATGTCTGATCAAATTTTAAGAATCATATTTTAGGAACACCCTTACCTTATCCCTATTCATAGTAAAGATAAACATTTTCTGAATTGGAGCCTTAAATGGCCCATAGGATATATATAATTCTTATCAGACATTTTGACCCATTGTCCAAGAATTATTTCTTTCCTTAAATCTATTTGAAAAGCTGTAAAGTACTGTATTTCTTTTAATACACCCACTTAAAACTTTTTCAACGTAATAAATTTTCTATTTTTTTTTTACAAGCATGTAAAGAAATTAACATATAATTCAGAGAAAACGTGGGTTTGAAACTTGTCAAAGGATATGCATTATGTGTTGATTTTCTATGTATATTTTCATGTTAAACAACAATGTTCCTCCTCATTCAAAAATTAACACTAAATCTAAAATTAAATATAGACAAAATATCAAATAAAAAAACTTACCAAATAGATAAAAATTAAGGAAAAACAACTGTCTAGCATCACCAGGCCCGACAATTGGAACAGGATTCCTCGCTAAGGACAATTCAGTTGATTTTAAGCTTGCTATAGGCACATTTCTTATGTTTACGTGTGATGGATATAGGCTGAAAGCATATAATAATATAGAACATAAAATTAAACATTTTTGATCTTTTACCTGAAACATATAAATTCTGAGACATTTTGTCGAATGATTTCCATCACATTATTTTATGTATGACGCTAATTCGTGGCCAAAATATTCGAGTACAATCTGGATTTAGTCGGTTTACGCTTTATAGTCAGCTATAGCTAGGTGGAAAAATCCCCCAATCCAGGTTATCATGGAATAATGTGACCAAGAATTAGAATTATTCTTTATAATTTAATTCAAAATTCATAAAACAACTGTGCATGTAAAATTTCGTTACTTTTTATTGATTTAGTTTAAATTTGCCGCTCAATAATACAACCATAGTAAATTAGTAACGGAAGAAAGTGATTAGAAGCGAAGGGAGGTAAAACTGATACATAGACCTATGAGCCATGTTGTTTGTTTATTTAGATGTGGTAAGATCGAGTAACTGAGGTGAAACGTAAAATTATTTAATCTGGAATTTTCCATGAATTCTGAGGACTAGAAATGAGAGGATTGGATGGATACTGTTGATTAAGCTTGTTGTCAGGGGGAGGGGGGGTGTTCCATCCCAAACCAGGTTATATTAAAAAATGGTGTTCTTTTTTGGATATTAAGGATATCCGATCCTCAGCCAGGATGGATAACTCCAAAAATTAATTCTTAATTTAAAATGCATCAAAATTAAGCTTGAAAATGATTTTTTTTTTTTTTCATGCAACAATTTTCATTTTATTCATCTTTATAAGACTCAAGGTGTTTGGAAGTCTTAGAAAAGGTCTTATAAAAGTTTTCATTTGTACCCTGTAAAAGGAGAAAAGTTTTAGATAAATAAGATTTTCTTGAATCCAGCCTTAGATACCAATGCTTATTAGCCTGATATGAAATGAGAAGTGATTTGTGGTGTCTTGCAATGATAAAAAAAACCTTTTACACTATGTATTATAGAATACATGACGGAAATAGAAGACAAAAATACCAAATAAGTATAAAAATCATGACAATTTCTCTGAATGCCTGGATACCTATCGTTTTTAATCTAAAATATATTTGTTGATCAATTTGCAATTAGAAAATGCATTGCTGATATTCCAACTCGCTTCCTCTGCAAAAATATTGGAGATTTGACAAGATTTCCCTATATAATACGATTAGCTTTAAGTTTTAACTTTAAAGAAATACTGTGGATAAATTTACATGACTTTGTGGATTCAGAGATACTTTCATGAGTATTTTTGATTACTTAATTGCTAATTTTATAAACCTGAAGATCGGACTGCCTTAACCATCAGAGTCTAGAATACGAACACAATTAAATTTGTCTGAGTTCATTCCAAGATTTTTTCTCTGTTTAGCTGTAACTTATCTTTTAAAAACTAAACTATTCATTCATTGATAGAATACACTTTAATACTTAAGTAGCTATCATTCTCAACTATAGACTTCATTAAACTCTGTGTTCGGGCTAAGTCTGACCATGGGATAGCAGTTACAATGTAGCTATCGTTATCCGCTGGAAAAGAAACTTAACCGATTCATGTGTAGTGGCTAACAAGCGACTTAAGGACAAATGATACAAACAAAAAATGGATGCCTGGATAGGTATATATATTTGGCCTAATTTCATTGCAAATGATGCATATAATAAATTTCTAGAATATAAAGGAATTGTAAACCTTCTGTGATGTTCAAAAGTTTGCCCTTGAAACCATCCTTATTAATCTATACAAATATTTTCACTTCAAAGCCCATTTTTGTGAAACGTTAAATAAAAAATTAAAAATTACGCAGTGAAACGTATTTATTTTACTCATTAATTTATATATGACCCAAAATGTTATTTTTAAATTTACTGACATAAGTTTGTTTGTATTGTTTGTCCTTAATCAACCTCTGTGTACGGGCTATAACTCTAACCACTGGATAGAAGTTAGCCATCATGATCCACTGGATAGGAGACATAACCAACCTCTTTGTACTGGCTGACTCTAACCACTGGATAGAAGTTAGTTATCACTATCCATTGGATAGGATACTTAAATAACCTCTTTGTACTGGCTAACTCTAACCAATGGATAGAAGTTAGTTATCACGATCCATTGGATAGGATACTTTATCAACTTCTTTGTACTGGCTAACTCTAGATAACCAATGGATAGCAGTTATCTATCATTATCCACTGGATAAGAAACTTTACCAACCACTGTGTATTGCTAGTATTACTAGCTTGTATGGATGAAAAAATACATCAGTGGATAAATTATGCGGTTTTTCACCAAAGGTTAATGCTAACTAGTGCTTTAATTTGAGCAAGCCAGTGGGGTGGTTACTAAGCACTGGTTGAATCAGTTGATTGTAGTGTTTAGCTAACCGGATACTTATTAATATTGAAAAACAGATATTTGAACAGTGGTTAGTTCACCAGTAGAAATTGAACTTAATCACCGGCTTATCCAGCGTCGAAATTAACCATTTAGGCATTTTTGCAAGTAACACAGTTCTAATATTTTTTCTGATCTGACTGTCCAAAAACCAAGGAGCGGGCGGACACTAAACGTATGGATGCAACGTCAGGAATTGCTTCTCAAAGTTGTAACGTCAAAACGACGTCAATATGAATTGTTTATATGCAGTGTTTAAATATGTTTTTAAAGAATTACATGTAATCCCATTGAAGTGATGGGATTTGTTGACAACAGAGGTTGTCAACAAATATATTTTGTCTAAATGTGATGTAAGAGAACGATTCTGTAAAATATCAGAGAAGATGTTTCAACTTTTTTCTAGAATAAACTCTGTTGAAGTATCTTCTGTTACAGCGGGGCAAGACGAAAATTGACGTTATTCCGGAATGTATAGTAGTCTGTCAATGTGTACATACCTTGTAATAATACTTCTTTTTGTTACAATATTATTGTTGAGAAAAAATCCTTTATTTTCAAATAAAATTACATGTTTATTATCAAGACTGTACTGCAAATGTGAGCTGAAAACGGATTAAGCATATTATTTCCTATTAGTAGCAATTCCTGACGTTACGTCATAAAGATTTGGAATGGAGTAAATATGTACATTCAACAATTTTATCAGTGTCAGAATGTTAACGCTTACCCGTATACTTGGTTAACTGCTAGGCAAGGTGAACTCTGTGTGCACGCCCTCTGGCGTTGGCATGGTGTCTGATTCTCGTCCACTCCGCGGTAATTCAAAACACAATAGGTACGGGCCCGGTTAACTATCTCCGCCTTAGATAAGTTTTTAAAATAACGATATTAAAATAAAATATAATTACTAAAATTTTAATGTATTTTAGTTAATTAATAAAGAAACAGTATCATATTCAAAATAAAATTTCTAAAATTTTCATATATTTTTTTGTTAATTAATAAAGAAACAGTATTCTATTTTTAAAAGAACAAAAAATGTCTTGTTTTGTTGGCATATCTTTGAAGGAACATAAAAAAATTGAAATGTTGTTATATTGAAAGATTTCAGACAAATAATCATAAAACTATAAAAATAGCTTTGATGTAAATGTAAAAATTAAAGCATACCCCTGCCCCTGGTCCTCTTATTGTCGTGGTTGTAAAAAAGTTAATATAATAATTATCTAGGGGGCGCCCTGTGTATATTATGAAATCACAGGTTTCCCCTATTGATAAGGTGACAAAATCCGTTCTGAATGGCGCCACGTCACTTCCGTCAAAAGCAACGATGTCAAGCATATGCTGTAAAATTTAAGGTAAAATAAAATTAAGGACAGATGATAAAAACAAAAAATGGACGCCTGGACTGATATATATTTTTTGACCTAATTTCAATGCGAATGATGCAAATATTAAATTTGTAGAATATTTATAAAGAAATTGTAAACCTTCTGTGATGTTCAAAATTCTATCCTTCTGAACCATCCTTAATATTCTATACATATATATATTTCACTTCAAATTCCATTTTTGTGCAACTTTGAATAAAAAATCTTAAACTATGCGGTTAAACGTATTCATTTTATTCATTAAAACATGACCCAAGTTGTTATTTTGAAAGCTTTTGACAAAAGTTATTTGTATCGACGTACAACACACATGGGGAGATGAATCGCGGTTTCAACAAAACGTTTAAAGCGACGTCAAATTTAACGTAAATAATAAAACGTCAAAATGCTATTTAATGCACCGAGTACTTAACCTGATAAAAAGCTACTTTTCATCGATCTGGACAATGTTTTCTTAATCGTGTTGAAGATTTTTTAATATTATTATAATAATTTTTTGAATGTTGAATTATGGATAAAGAATTATTCCTTTCAAAGTTTTTTTTTATTACCTTAATTTTTTAAACATTAATTTAATTGAGTATACACATGTTTTGATCTTTTTTTTTTACAAGAGTTGGTTATTACTTATAAAAACGTTGCAAAATGAAATGAATGTTAAATTTAATTCGAAGAAGACTTACATCATCTATTGAAATTTCAAAAGAGGCGTCGAATCCAGCATTTATCACTCTGAAACGGTAATATCTGTTTTGTGTCACAGTAAAAGTCTCTAATGGAAGATAAGGCTTCTCTGGCATTTTCGGATCATTAAGGATGTATCGTCTTCCTGTTAAAAAAAAGTTTGAGAAAATAAATTAGAGACACATGTATGCATATATTATCTTTCCGTAAAAACAAAGTATCGTCTTCATGAAAATAAAAGTATTAAACGATGTATGACCTTTCTATTCAACAGTCCATATGTGTTGCAAAATGAACAATGTGCTAAGCAAATATTATAAACCTATTTGCCGCCTTAAACATACTTTATTTTTACATACCACGACCATTCACAAGGCCAGTACGAAGTTGGAATAATTTTCCGGAACCATCTGGGTGTCGGAGCAACGGCAAACAAGTCCCGTCATATTCCTCTAACCTGAATTTTAATAAAGATAAAAGTGAAAATAAAGATCGAAAAGCAACCAAAGAAAGATTTTAAAAAACGCAGAGATGGGATCGGGTGACTAGGAGAATTACACAGTTTAATTTTATATCCTTGATCATGAAATATATATTGGCACAAAAAACTACAGACATACTGTTAATGACATTGCTTAAATTATCATTGTGACGGAGTCGTACGTCTTATTCTGCAAACTTTCAAACCCAACAGAAGGATAATGAAACCGATAACTATAGTTATTAAGGAGGTTTCTTACATTCCAAATATCCCTCTATCGGCCTGAATCAATTCTTTGGCCGTTTGTGACCCCGAGCCCCAATCCATGAGAACAACAGAAAACTCGGCATCAACATCTGGCATTGGCTGACGTGGAATTTTCTGAATATAAAACATATCACGAAATGAAACTACGGCATTAAGTTAACTGCAAAATGACTGAAATTCTACTGAAAGATGACTGATTATCTACTGAAAGATGAATGAGTTAGGAGCTCTGCAATTCAGTGACTTTTCCAGGTATTAATTCGGTCAGCATTTACATGTATTTGACTAAATGATATACAGTTTAATTATGTGTGTTCATAGAAGAATCTTTTTGAAATATAAATTTTAAAAAAAATTGAAAAAAAAATAAAAAAAAAAAATAACGTTAATGACATGAAATTTTCAAATAAACTACGGCGTTGTTTCAAGAGTACACTTAGATAAATATATGGTTGTATTGGAAAAATGTCATGTGAAAATTTTGTTTCTAGTAAGTTAAAAGGATCTTCATAGATTATATGAATTGATATTTTTTTTTACATTTTTTTATTTACTTAGATATGTATAAAAAAATATGTAAGTCTTACTATAGATGGTCTTATCCTGGGTAACACAATGAGAGCACCTGCCAACCCATCAGATCGCATACTCCCTGTATGTGAGTGATACCAGTGTGTTCCAACAGGTGAAGCAACAAATCTGAAATATTTAATTCATTTCACATTGTATGTAGGTATAAAATTGCAACGTATGTGTAACATGTTGAACATACGTTGAACAAATGCCTGTAACGTATGTTTGCCATAAAAAAGAAGCACCGTAGTTATGATCAATATATTTTTTAATCATATGTTCAACATATGGTCGAAAATTCTTATGGTCAACATATGTTTAACGTATGTTTAACATATGTTACTCAAAATATATTTTGAACATACGTTCCAATTTTACCTGCGAAGTAGTATTTTTTTTTTCTGAAATACTTCCTTTCATTTTTTTATGATATTCAATATTTAAAATAATAGGGGCCCTTTATTCAATGTTTTAAGGGGGGGTCAAAAATCTATTGTATTTTTGAAGTCAATTCCACGCTGAACTTCATCATAACATTTAACATTCAATGATAAGGTGTTGTTTTGTTTTTTTTAATTTAGTTAGAGATATATTGAATATTATGTTCATCGTCATTTTCTTGAACTAACTAAAGTGTCCTCCGACATTTGAATTATTATTGATTTCAGGTAAATGAGTAGTTCTGCATTACATCACGATCTTTTTCGACAGATGCATCCAGCGTAGACAATTCACGCCCCTGTGGTGTGATTTGTCAACTCATATTATCAACATTGACACGGAAATAGTCTGTTGCACGAGCAACCAATCACGGATTAGAAGAAACTTCCAGTCCTAAAGCTTGCGGTTAGGAGGCGTGTACTATTTACCTTGAGCGCAACTGTCATCATAGGTTGTGACGTAATGCAAAACTTCATACCTAACTGAAATTAATAATAATATATTTGTCTTGATTATGAGGGGGATTCAACTACGAGTATATATTAAAAAAAAGCATTGTCGATTATAACCCTCAAACTAATTGAACATCGTACGATTTAAGGTGATTGTATCATGCTGTATACATGTATTTTTTTAGCAATCTAATTGAACTTTGGTTTGAAACATGTGATAATTTTATATTAGGATTAACTTTCGAGAAGGTAAGCAATGATACCTGTACTCAAAAGTTTGTTTTGGCAAAATGGGACATTGGGATATCATATCGGCTCCATCCATGAAGGGCGTTCCTCTTTGTTTTATACCATGCCAGTGAATGCTAACTCCCTCCACTTCCAAAAGATTGTGCACGAGGACAGAAACCTGAATTCAAATTCACTTTCAGTTAAAATATAGATAGGCTCTAGATAAAATATTGTAAATCAACTTTTATTCACATGCGATAAATATTCGCTAATTTAGCGAGCTACTTTAATTCGCGAACATTTATTTTGATAGAAAATGTTTTCTCAGTCGCGAAACTTAATTGTGTTTTGATTTCAATTTTAACGGTCGTCCGCGCCGTGCAATGGTAAGAGGGTCTGCTCTAGAGTCGCAAAGTAAGGAGTTCCTTCGGATATAAGACAGCTATAAACCGAGGTCCCGTGTCGTAGTAGATGCTGGCACGAAAACGATCCCTCCCTACTCAATGGCCCTAAGTGCCGAGAATAGTACAAAATTATTTGCAGCTCTCCACCAGCAAGTGGTGGCGTCTCCATATGAGTAAAAAATTCTCGAAAGGGACGTTAAACAATAAACAATCAATCAATCAATCTGACGAATTGCAAACAAAAGATGACGCGAACTATTAACTCATTATCGAGACGGCTATAATGCATGGACATCAATCATGTATTATAATAAAAGTTGAAAATTAATCAAATATACTTATTTTGAGTTCACTATAGTAAAAGTTATTTTATTTTTAATTATTACAATTAAGACCATACATATATATCTTATAATATAGATGAAATCCATATGAGCTGAAGTTTCATCAGGTCATAATATTCATTAAATAACTTCTCTATATAAAAGACTCAAATCTTTAAGCTGAAAATTTTATTAAATTAATTTTTAATTTTTTAAATGTTTTAACATTTCAAATAATGATATATTTCATAAATTCAATAAAGAATATGAAACAATGAACAGGGCAAAAATGAAAGCTCAATGAAAATTCAGTCGCCTGGAAGGAGTAAGCACCCCTTGACGGCCGACCATGCCCGCAATGGGTCATCTGCATTGATCAGGAAAAAAGGAATAATTTGTCAAAATGATATTTAAACAACTAGCTAATAATTGGTATAAAATGTCAATCAAATTACGACACACAGCAACTGGTTGCAATGTCAAAACTCTAGGAGGTCAAAACGCATTTTGCTTTAAAATAAAAGAAAATACAATTTAAAAGAAAATGTTTTGGACCTTGATTGGTTCTGCATCTCTACAAAAACATATGTAAAAGACTTACAATTTGATCCTCGTAAACAACAATATCAGGTCCAGGTATTTGTCCGTTGAAAGCTAGAGCCAACCTGTAATTACCATCTCCAGGGCTAACGTTTTCTTTAAAATCTGCGAAAAAAGAAAATGTTCAACTGATTATTACATATAAACCCCACTTGAAATGCGGTTGATGAATTCTAATGAGGAGTCCGCCCTTCTTCACGTCTTCTTTTCGTACTTTCGTTACGCGCGTATTTTAGGTGCTCATCTAATATCTGTACACCCCTCCCCTCATACTTTTGAATATGAATCAATATTTCTTTTAAGTATCTTCATTACATATATACACTGTACAATCCAATCGCCCACCTCCTGCCTTATCCCTCAAGCGGATTTCCAATGACAAAACATGGACAGACTGCCATCCTTTTTATAAAATTGGGACACAACTTCCTATTCACAAAAAATTCCAATGAATAAAATTTACTCAGATATTCAAAGAACTTTATGATTTAATGCCGATTGATACCTTTTTTTAATGATGTTTCAAATTTCCTATGGCAAACACTTATTTCGCCATTATTCTTAAATGGGAGACAGTATCATTTTGAATCTCAGTGCTCACATTACCTCGAGTTTATCATTTGTGTTACACTAAAACAAATTATTATAGTTACAGTGTACTTTCATTTCTTACTATGAAACTGTACTCTAGATGTTTTGTAGATTTAATGCATTGCAATCGTTAATTAAACACAGATGAACGAATTTTTTGTGGGATTAAATTTTCTAGGATTAAAGGCAGGAATATAGATCTGTGGGGATTTGATTTCGCGGACAAAGAAATGTTGCGTAGTTTAACATTCCGTGGTAAACATAAATTCTTTGGTCTTATCATGCCTCGAAAACATCAAAATTCCGCCCCACGAAAATTAGTGATTACACGGTACATGTGTTATGCAATTTACAAATACATGTAATATAAAGTAAAAAAATTTATAAACATTTATCAATTTATTGATGCAGTGGTAAACCATACATAAGCTAACTAGTTCATTTTTTTCCCTTTTCTCAATTCATGTTTTGTTCAAAATACTTCAAATTCTTTTGTTTGTTAACGTGAATTTTCTGCAGTCTTTTTTCGAAGATATTTAAGCAAAACGTATTAGAATTTCTGGTATTAATTTGAGATAAAATTCATGTGACTATAGTTTTTTTAATCTTTTAATCAAACAAAAAATTATGAATATTTTTATCAGAATTCAACCAAAGCAAACATTTTTTTTAATGCCAAATTTTAATATTTTCTAAGAATTAAATTAGTGAAGCATAGAAATCATTATTGAACAGAGGGAAACATTACATAATACATCAATAATTACAAAAATTAAAATTTTAACGCCCTAAACGTTTTGACAAGGAAGTGTTGCGTAATTTAAACATACGTGATATAAATAATTCATGATACGTATATTCCAAGAAAAGTGCTGTATCTTTCTTTACAATTTCAGTATTATTTTAATTATTTTAAATGCTTATAAGTCCAATAAAATCAATTTTAGTAATATCTTTATACAGTGTATGTATCATTTATGATGTCTAGCGAAAAAAAAATAAGTTATCCTTTTTAAAATTTTTCATTTAATTATTCATATAAGTGTCCAATGGATTTTTGAATTACTCCTTTTTCTTCATTAAACTTAGCAACTTCTTTGTTTCAGATCGTCGATTTAGGCAATATCATTTTCACCCTGACAAAAATCATGACTTATAACAAGTTGCATTACAAAAAGACCCCAATGTGAGCCACGGGAAAATAAATTATTGACCTTGCCAACATCTTTATACCAATGAGAATGCTGCAAATTTTAACATGTATGCTTTCATTTATTTTATTGTGTCATGAAAGGGAATTATTTCTTTGGGAAATATTACAGAATGTAAATTTTTTGAACCAGAGCAAAAAAAAATCATAAGGAAATACTTCCTGTGCCATTTAATTCGACATTCAAACATATTGCATTGTATCTATGACATGCATCAGTGTATATTTTCTTACATATTCTCAAGTCGACTTGATAAATACATTTTTTATCCAGACTGAGTATAATTTAAGGAACTGCTTAAGGAATGGAAAAAAAAGTTCTGTTTATTATTAGAATACATATCTTTGAAATGATCATTAAGTAAGGTATGTAAGCTACCTTGTTTAGGTGGGTACAAGAATGGGGAAAATGAGAAAAGAGTACAATAAGAATGGATAGAATATGATTTAAAAAGTTATCAAACATGTGGATGAAACTCAAATGAATGTGTTCAGCCAAAACGGAAAAGGAATCAAGGAAAGAAATTCGAAATAATTTAGATGGTAACAATATACATATGTAGTGGTGAAAGTGAGGAAAAGTTTGTTGTTGTTTTTTCAAACGCCATATTTTATTAAGATATTTATAAAAGGAGATTTTTTAAAATTTTACATTATATCTGTGATGCATTGTATGTTGCAATTTCAATAATTACAAAAATTGAAAGGTCTACAATTGTTAACAGGAAGGTGTTGGTAATTAATTTGGAGGTAACATATTTTTGCTCAAAGGTTAATAACATCAGTTTTTGTATTATTTATAGCATATATGATGAGATGAAAAAAAAAAAGTCCTTTTTAGTTTACATTTAATTATTCATATAAGGAAAATATAAATCGTTCCTTGGTTGTCGTGCTCACAGTACCTCGAGTTTTTCATTTGTGTTTTGACTTACGCCTTTCGATCAAACGCCATATTATGAATATTATTATGATATGTCAACCAAAGCAAACAAATATATTTTTTTAATTTTATGCGAAATTAAAACATTTTTTTTTTAATTAACATTATATCTTTGATGCATAGAAATCGTTACCTAAAATCAGGACTCATTACAATATACATCAATAATTACAAAAATTGAAAGTTCATCACCCTAAAATTGTTAACAGGAAGGTGTTGCGTAATTAAACATACGTGTTATAAATAATTCATAATACTTTTATTCCAAGAAAAGTAATATACAAATTCCATTTTTGTTTAGTTGAATATGATTACACAACAAGTTTGAATTTGATAAAATAAAACTTGATTAGTAGAAATTCATAGTAAAAATACTTTGGTATAATTGAGTGAAAAATTTGATAAACATTTGTAAATTTATTGATGCAGGGTAAACTATAGATAAGCAAACAATATGTATGCTTTAAGATTTTATTTTCTATTAACCAGGATGTTCAAAATACTTTAAATTCATTTCTTTGTTAACGTGAATTCTCTGCAGTTTTTTTCCGAATATATTTAACCAAAACTTTTTCGAATTTAATTTGAGATAAAATTCAGGTGCCTATACTTTAAAAAAGCATTTCGATCAAACGACAAATTATTAATTTTATTATCATAATTCAACCAGGGCAACCAATAATTGATTTCTTTTATTCAAACTTTCTAAGAATTATATCCGTGATGCACAAAAATCATTTAATGAATCTAAGGACACAATACTTTATACATCAATAATTACAAAAATTGAGTTTATCGCCTTACAATTGTTAACAGGGAGGTGTTGCGTGATTAAAACATACGTGTTACAAATAATTCATGATACTTATATTCCAAGAAAAGTGCTGTATTTTTCTTTACAATTTTTTGATATCCGAGATGCTTATATAATTAGAAGGTCAATTTTAGTAATATCTTTATACAGTGTACAGCTCAACGCACTTTTTAAACTGTTTTAACTGGTATTTTGCACAAATTAAGGTCACATTCTTATAAAGTAAAATTGTGTAACGTGACAACAAAATATATCTTATAAATGATTTATAACTTAATTTTGATCATATTTCATTACTTTAAACATAATTCCCACATAATAATTGGTAGGATTTTTATATGCTCTTGGAATATATATTATGAGAGTTTCCAAATGTTTTTTTTTTCATGCGTTCTCGTCAAATGCAACCGTCTTTGTATCCGTTCATTTTACCTTCATACAGAAACAGTGCAGTTCATGTAACTTCTGTATTTTCCGTACATTGTATGACACTAAGGCGCAAGATGATAAAAGTATTTCTCACCTGTTCGACTGCTTTCCATTTTAAAAAGATGGCTTTTTTTCAGTTAACTTCCTGAAATCTAGCATCATGAAAGATACCTCCCAATGCAAAATTTCAGTTTCAGACCATAAATGTAAATGAATTTTCTTTTTAATATTTACAATTTACTATGTTGAAAGATAAACAAAACTTTATTATCCTATTCTTTCACATGATTTCTTTATGCAGTTTTGTAATTTTTCGGCGCTGCATTTCGACAAAACTTTTCAATAGACCAGACTTGTTGATATCATTGACAGCTTTTTTTTTAATATAAGAATGGAACTCGTAAATGTACTTACCGGGTACCCTGTCATTGGTCATTTGCAAAATTATTTTGTTAAAAAAACATTCTGATTGTACACACAAGTTCTCCGAAGTTGACATCAAAAATATACTTGAGTTTCTGATTGACAATATCTATGTGGTTTTTGGAGACCAGGTCTTCCAACAATCTATTGGAATTTCCATGGTATCAACTGCGCATCGTTATTAGCAGACCTATTTTTGTATTCATATGAAGCAAAATTTGTGCAAAATCTTATGCGTGAAAAGAAGAAAACACTTGTTGTGTCCTTCAACTCGACATTTAGATTTATCCACGACGTATTGTCAATTAAAAATAGTAATTTCGATTCTTGTTTCGATATATCCTGGTGAGCAAGACATGAAAGATACCAAAGAGTCTAACACGTGTATCTGTTTCTTATTTTGATATTTCACTAGAAAAGGACGTTAATAGTAATCTAACAGGCAAGCTCTATGATAAACATGATGGCTGTCATTTTTCTATCGTCAACTTCCATTACTTATGCAGCAATACACCTTCATCTCCTGTATATGGAGTGTATATATCTCTTAGTTGATTCACTACACAAGAGCATGCTCTACGTATGAACAATTTCTAAAACGAGGCAAATTGTTGACAGGTAAGTTGATGAAACAAGAATATCAGCACTCTCGTTTAAAGTCATCATTTCGTAAGTTCTATGGTATATACAATGACCTTGTCAGCAAATGCAATTTATCATTGAGTCAAACGCTGACTGACTTTTTCAGATTTATTGTTAGTCCATTATTTACACTGAATTCACTACGTTTTTCCGTTATTTCCCGAAATGTTAGGTTTTAGTTTTTATAATAGCTTTGACTTCAATGTGTACTCTTGATCAAATTATTGGACTCAGGACAAGTATGATGGGTCAACCGGGGGTGCTTACTTTCCAATGGCATCTGATCACATATCTGGAATTACCAGGCATTTGTGTCTTATGCCATCTTTAGAGATTTTTTTATTTATATTTTTTCTATTAAACGCATTTACTTAATTATCCACATCTTGTACATTTTTAATCCAGACTGAATATAATTTACGGAACTGCATTAGAAATGAAAAAAAGCTTATTTATAATCAGGTTGATATCTTTTTAATGATCATCAAGCAAGGTATAAAAGCTACTTTGTTAAATCCTCTGGAGGGTACAATGATGGGAAAATGAAAAAAAAAATGTACAATACAAGCCCAATATGATTTAAAAAGATGATTCAACGAGTTAGTGAAATTCTAATTGAATGCCTTAAGCCAATATGAAATTGGAATCGAAGAAAATAATTTAGATAGTAACAATATTAGTGGTCAAAGCAAGGATAAGATGAAGAAAAAAACATTACGATACAGTGGCTCTTTTCACAAAAAATCCTTTCACTAAGATAAAAGTTTCACTAATGTTACAAATTCTATTTTTTAAAAGGGATTTCGTCGGTGTAGGTTATTTCTAGGGTACTCAGGTTATTTATTTGGAGGTACCATTTGATTAAATCATCTTTGATGAAATATTCTTATTCTATCTTGGAAACTATATATCGTTCCTTCGTTTAAAAGAAAGGGATCAAATTTATTTATGCATGGCAAAAACAACTGTTTTGCATGAAACCGCTAATGCACAATTTAACACAGACTATTGTAATCACCAGGATTTCACGAAACCTAATTTTCGCGAGATAAAGATTTGGCTATTTATAAGCGGGACAACATTTTTACGAATTACCTGTCCCGCGTAATTACTCGCAATGAAGTTCACAAAAATAAAAATTCATTTGGAAATTAATTTTCATTTTTTAAAAGCAAGTAATCAATTGTTGATGAAATAACATAGAAATCGCATTGTGTTTATAGATCCTTGAAGGCATATGCTGAGTTTACATAACCACAACACATATAGTTCATACGTTTGAAGACAATATGCAATTTGACCACTTTTTCTTATAAAATATACTCAAAAATTATGCACAAACACATAAATGAAGTTAAACAAAGATAGAAAACATACCTAAGGTTGACTCTTTCTATTCTTAAATATAATTCCAAACAATTGCAAGGCGTTCTGCATATTGTTTGAAATTATTATCATGTTATTTTTTAACTTTTTTTTATAATTGAAACAATTAATCAAGAAAACTATAATAAAAAGTCAGGATTTGCAACTTTCATTGGATTTTATGCCTTATTTTCAAAATTAAAGGAATTCTCACCAAGTATGCTTTCTTTTGGGAATCACTGAATCTTTGTTTTAATCATAGCCTTAAGTTGGAGTTTTTATTTGTCTTAATTACTGAGTAAACTATTATCAGCTTGTTTAGAATTTTTGAAAATAAATATACAGTCGAAAAGAATAATCATTAAAATGAGGGTAAAAACAACTAATATTTAAACAAAATATATTTTAATATTTCGACCGCAATTTTACTTATATTTTAGGCCAAAAAGAAGTACTTTCATGCATACCTTCTTTTGTTAGCGGAATGAAAGTATCCGAGCAGGAAGAATTTGTGATTCGTCTTGAGAGAAGTCCGTTTCTAAGGACGACAGGGTTATAATCCGGGTCCTTAATATCTGTATAGTTGTACCACATCATTGTGAACTTGTAATCGACGTTAAATTCAAAGTAGCAGACGTTATCTCTACAGTTCTCGTGCGGTCTGACGACTCGACCATTACATTCAAACGCAAAGAAGGCCATGAGAAAAACCTGAAGAATCATGATAACGTAATTATCTTTGCTGAGTTAAGAATATATCTAACTTGATCTGATCCTTTTGGTGCTCTTATATTTGCAACTTTGCAAACGTTTTATACCTTTGTGATTTGACCTCCCAGAAGTTAATAGTTATGCATGCATATTTAATACAGTCAAAGAATTCGTCTATAACATAATGATGATTAATTTTTTTTTCTAACTAAATTTTAATAATTTTATTGGTTTTCAAAAATTTACATGTCTATTTGTTAAAATTAATATATTTTTAATAGGTCAAGCTATAGGTAAAAAAAAAAAAATAAAATTAATTGTAACTAATAAAAAGGTGCTGTTACAACACTGTACATGGAATATACGTTGTGTTACAAATATTTAAATGCTATTTGTCTATTTGTTAAAATTAATATATTTTTAATAGGTCAAGCGATAGGTAAAAAGGATAAAATTAATTGTACCTAATAAAAATGTGCTGTTACAACACTGTAGAAGGAATACACAAGTTAAATAAAAAAAACCCTACCCTTAACTGTTCAAGAGTTATAGCAAAGGTTAAAGTTAAGTAAAATTTTGCAAAAGTGTATCAAACAGTTTGGTCTAGACTACCTACCTACCTAACTAGTCCTTGTTGCAACCGGGGTCACAAAGGACAAGGACTAGGGATTTCTATTCCTCTCTGTTCTTGGTTGTCCTCTCCACCTCTTCCGAGGTTAGATTCATTTCCCTCAGTTCTTTTTCTGCGGTTTGCCTTTGTTGTTTTTTTTTTTATATGATATGTTATTCATATCTTTTTTTCGTTTAATCGATTGTAATTTATGTGGGCTTTTTGTATTTAGGAACATATCTTCTACTTTCTTTATGTTAATTTCCCCATGGTTATTTCACATCCGATTGTGTCTTGGCCCATTAGAATCAGCAATAAAGGGCAAATTAGCAAACGTTGTTCTTTCAAACAAATGAGCTTATTTGTAAATGTAAATTTGCTTCTCTGTTGATAAAAAGAGGGCTTTTATTTTTTGACATGTGTATTACCTGTTGTGTTTTTCCCCGCGCTGAGAATTTTGTTGATTTATGTTTCTTTAGTTTTAAGTATTCATTGGTTGTAGAAAACTTTATATTACACTTGTACCATGGCTTCAGACACCGAAAAGGGGAAAAAGAAGAGTAAGAAAAGGAAAAAGTTGTCGAACTCTGTGAACTCCGATGTTGTAAGTGACAATGAGGGCACCTTGGCGCCATCAGCCAGTGAGGTCATAAACGAGGTAAACAAAGTACTTCATGGTGATTCTGACCAAGTACCTCTACCTACTTCTACATCGACATACGAAATGCCATCCCCACAAACACATATTGTAACCTTTGTTGTGAAAATTCTCGTCTTACTGCATTGTCCATTGTTGTCGAGTCAGATTCAGTCAAAGTTAAAGGACCACGAAAAACATCTCCTTGATATACAGAAATTTGTGAAAGAACTAAAACATTCCCAATACGTCGCATCTGCTGGAGCCAATAAAACACAGAGTTTAACAGACATGTCAATATGATACAAAACATGGCCCAAAACCTAGATCAAGTGAGAAGGGTCAGCAATCAGACAGATGAGCATATTACTGATCAACAATACTGTTCAATGAAGATGAACCTGATATTCGACAATTTGGGCTACGAAAGTAAAGATAAAGGCCTTTACGACAAATTGAAGTGCTTCCTATCCAATAAACTGAGTATATCCATAGCCATTTAGAGTTCGTTAAGATCCACAGATTTGGGCGTCACCGTCGTGGATATAACAGACCTATTGTAGATTTGTGATACAAAAAGAAAGCCCTATCTCTTCCTAATCAAAAGTTATCAGGAAGAATTAACAATTTTGAATAGTAGGTCAAACTTCAAGGTCAGAAGATAAAAAAAATCATAGTGTATTAACAAAGGTCTTGTCACAAGCAAAACACAGATTTAAGGACAGTTGATACAAACTTTTGTCCAAAAAATTGAAAATTACAACTTGCGTCATGTTTATATGAGTAAAATGAACTAGGTGTTTCGCGTAGTTTTTAATTATTCAAAGTTTTTTCAATAAAGGGGTTTAAAGTGAGAAAAAAAAATTGTATAGATTAATAAGGATGGGTTCAGAAAAGTAGAATTTTGAACATCATAGAAGGTTTACAATTTCTTATTTGCATCATTTGCAACAAAAATAGGCCCAAATATATGTACCAATCCAGGCATCTATTTTTTGTTTGTATCATCTGTACTTAATTTGAAAATACTATGTCTTCTCATTCAAAAGTCATGACAAAGGTTAAAGGTTTTGAACAGTAGGTCAAACTTTCAGGTCACGAGGTCAAACATCAGTGTATTTAGAAAGGTCTTGTCACAGGTAATACACATGTTTTATTTGAAAACCCTATCTCTTCTCATCCAAAAGTTATGGCCAATTTTAAGTAATGTTTAATTTTTTTTAAAGTAGGGCAAACTTCAAGGTCACGAGGAAAAAAAATCATAGTGTTTGAATTTAGAAAGATCTTGTCACAGATCCACAGGTTTAAATGAAAGCCCTAATTCAAAAGTTATGTCTAAGTGTAAGGGTTTTGAGAAGTAGGTCAAACTTCAAGGTCATGAGGTCAAAAATCATAGTGTATTTAGAAAGGTCTTGTTACAGATAATACACGTGTTTTATTTGAAAGCCTTATCTCATTTGAAAGTAATAGCGAAGTAGGTCAAACTTCAAGGTCAAAGTCACCGGGTCAAAAAAATCATAGTGTATTTAGAAAGATCTTGTCACAGGCATTACACAGGTTTAATATAAAAGCCTTATCTCTATTCATTCAAAAGTCATGACCAAGGTTTAAGTTTTTGAACAGTACATGTATGTCAAATTCAAGGTCACGAGGTAAAAGATGCATTGTGTCTTTAGAAAGATCTTGGCACAGATAAAACACGTCTTTAAGGTTGTACATAATAGATAGACCAAAATTTTCCTCAAATTAAATTTTTCTGAAGCTGATATTTTGTTCTAGGATAGAAAATCTCTCTTTATATATAGTTTGAAAGAAATTCAACCTCACATTTTTTTGCCCACATAGTTTGAAATACGGCCAAACAGACCCCTGTAAGAAGATTGTGAAATCAGACATTCGACCTGAGAATGAATCTTATTTCAAAACTATCAAATGATCTACTGCACATTTGTGTGATGCGATTTATAAAGACAACCATTTTGTAAATTAAATTCAGTAAGTTATATTGATACTGAAAAATTTGAGTAAAATAAAATGTAAAAACACAACATAGCGCTGGAATTGAAAATTCACATGTTAAAATGCTACACTATAAGATTTTTTAAGAGAAAACGTAACTCAATTTTTACAAAAAAAAATCAACATAATGATTCAAATGGGTCCCAGAATCAAAATAAGGTATTTTTTTGGTATCTGAAAAAAATTAAATGGCATCAAAAGATGACTTCACAATATTTTACCTTTGACCTCTTGATATGACCTTGACCTTTAATTATACAAATGTAGTACATAAAGAATTGAGACTCCTTATATATGTCCAAATATCAGTCATCTACTATTAATGGAACACAAGTTACACTGCATTTGATAACACCGTTACACACGCGTCATTTTACATTTAGACAGCATAAAGTCATTCTAAAATGTAAACATTCCCAGTGATCAATATATTGGATGTCGCTGATTTTTTCACAAAATATGACGAAAACATGCCACAATTTATTATATTTTTTACAAAGATCATTCATTGTTTTACATGATAATAGTGATATCATTCGTTTTTCCACCAGTACTTTTCTAATTTAGTTAAAATAGAATTCATGGGTGTTTGTCTTACCTTAATATGAAAGTCATGTCAAATGTTAAAGTTTTTGAAAAGTAGGACAACCTTCAAGGTCAAGGTCACCAGGTCAAAAAAATCATAGAATATTTAGAAAGGTCTTGTCACAGGTTTTACATGTTAAAGCTTTATCTCTTCTCATTCGAAATTTATGGCCATTTAGATTAATGTTTGACTTCAAGGTCATAGGGTCAAATAGCTGCAGATCTGTAGCGTTATGGTTTTATATATATTTGTCTTTGACCATAACGCTACATCCGTAATGTAAAAAAGGGTGCAATTTACGGCGCATTATTTTTGGCGCACTGGAGAATTTCTCCACTTTTTAGCATTGGTCAATCAACTTCCTTTCACTCCCTAATTCTAGACACATTCTGTAGCCAATATGTATATTTTAGCCGCTTCCCAATCAATTATAGTTGTCTCTACAGGCAATAAACTCGCTTGGAGTGAATTTTCAGCTATCTAACATATACTGCAGTAATTTTAATCAGGCGAGTTTATCACTTGTAGAGCGACTATACAGGGCAGGTAAATGGATAAAATATACAGATTAGTTAAATAAATAATTTGCCTAGAATTAGGGAATGAAAGGTAGTTAATTGACCAATTCTGGAAAGTTGAGAAATTCTCCCCAAAAGTGCGCAAAAAATATTGCGTCGTAAATTGCACCTTTTTGTATTACGGGATCTGTAACGTTATGGTAAAAGACAAAAATATAAAACCATAACGCTACAGATCTGCAGCTAAGGGTCAAATATCAGAGTGTATTTAGAAAGGTCTTGTCACAGTTAAATAGCTGTGTAATATTAAAACTCTGTCTCTTTTTCATTCAGAAGATATGACTAAGATTCAAGTTTTTTTTTGTGACGGACGGACAGAACTAGACTGACAGATGAATATACAAATGAGATTTAATGTCCCCTCACTTTCGCGAAAGCGGGTGACAAAAACATTGAAACAATGCACACATGTAGCAGAGCAAACACAGACCTCCAGAAACATCTTGTGGGAGATCAGGTGCCATGAAGAAGTAAACAGCCCTTGTTGTATGACCAGTCACACCTGCCGTGTGCTCCTTGTTATGATTGTGCAAAAGGATAAATCCTTATTCAATTCAGTGTGTAAATAAATAATGGTCTCACAATTAGTATGAAAATCGTCAATCAGTTATCGACTTTCTGATAGATTGCATTTGTTGACAAGGCTAGCCTATTGTATCAACCATAGATCTTACGAAATGATGACGTCAAACGAGACCATTGATAAAAGTATCATTGTTTCATGAGCTTGTTTGACAGTAGCTTGACTTGTTTTAGAAACTGTTGGAACAAAGAGCATGCATTTTTGCATCGAATCAACTGGGAAGCATAAATAATGCTTATAAGTGAAAGATATTTTGCTACAGAAATAAGTTTATGATAGAAAAGATGAACTCTGAACTTCTGAAATTGTTCTGAACATTCAACAGTGTTAGTTAATCTTAATTGGAATTCAAGAATTAGAAAGAAAAAGAAAGAGAAAAATTCTGTCACATATATTTAATAACATATTAACAATCTTAATGACATAGATCAGTTATCAAGTTATACTGTAATTTTTAAGTCCACGGATTAATAGAACTGTTTAACACATAAGTATGGGATTTTCTGCAATATGTACAAGTATGTAGTACACGTTATATTATAATATAGGCCTAAGATTAAAATGTGCACTAAAGTATTATGATTGTATTTTATTACACTGGTAATATATTTCACTTTATCTGTTATATTTATTTGTAGCTTAAAAAGGCTATTTAAAAAATGCTGCATAATGGAATGCTTTAATGCAAGAAGGAAATGTCTTGATATCTTGAGATTATACTGTATAATTGGATGTTTCACAAATAACTGTTAAATAAATAGTAATTATTTCTGTTTCAAAAAAATCATAATTTTCAAAATAATTATCATAAACTATTTTTTTGATGCATATAAATCTGATATTAGTCTAACGAATATAACATTACCTTAATACACAGTTTGCTGAAAATCTATTTCAGTCTATAACATTATGTATGGCTAAAATCAAATTATTTCCAAAAATCCTAATTGTTAAACAGTTAAAATATTTGTACATATATTGCACATGTTGGTTTAAGAATCAATACAGAAAAAAAAATCACATTCTTTAGTCACAAAAGATGGTAAATAAAAATTATAATAAACAAACATTTTATCATATATATATTACCTAGAAAGTTCATATTAGCAGATAAAAATTGTGAAATACAAATATTTCATTGATATATGTTACCTAGAAGGTTCATATTAGCAGGTAAAAAAAATTATGATGTACAAATATTTCATTGATTTAGGTTACTTAGTAAAGATCTTATAAGGAGGTAAATATTATGATATAAATATTTTATCGATATATGTTACCTAGTAGTAAATACTTAAAGGCACCAGCTTGAGAATGTAGAATATTCGTTAAAATTTTTAAAAAATATGAAATCTGATTAATATATTCCATGCTGGAGAGAGAGAGAGAGAGAGAGAGAAAAGGAATAATCTTTACACTATTGTTATGATTTTTTTTTTCCACCAAAATTTCAACAAAAAAACCTAGGCACAAATTAAAATTTTAATTCCTTATCTACAGTTAAGAAAAAAAAAATGATGTGTTATCCAATTTAATTCATAAAATAATGCATGCATTGTATTTTCATTTAATATAGGTTAGGGGTCCTATTTTCCCAAGGGGATTCATTTATGTCAAGAAATTTTGTACTGACAGATTGCAAAGAAATTGTGATACTATATTTATGACCACGTGAAATAAGATTTACAGTATTGTTCATATGTAGAATTACTATCCGCTTTTCTGTACAACCCTATAACTTTATACAATTTTCAGATCCCTTCATCAGCATATTACTTGTAACTTCAACATGATTTTTTTTCCTAGTCTCCGAATATCTTATCCGATTAATGGTGGACTTTCTAATATCTCGTGACTAGAATCAAAACACCTACATATGGCAATATACATTTCCCAAATAAACCGAAGACAGTAAAATAATAACATAACAATACAAAACTGTTTGTCTGGAATGATCTGAACTAAAACATGTGTACCTCTAATGATTGGAATGGTTTTTAATTTTTAACATAAAATGCTTTGAATTTTTTTAATTGTTAATGACAACGATTTCCAAACAATGGTTTTAAAACAGCTTTGTTCAAGTATATATGAAAGGTTTAATCTGCAGAGAAACAATTTTTTAAAATAGATATTTACTATCACATTTACACAACCTTCAAAGTCAATGCATACTAGACTTCTGTAGTTCTTTATCAAAAGTTTGGATAAAAAAAAACATCTATGTAAAAAAGTCATTAAACAAGCTTTTAAATAAAAATTCTAGTATATAGGTCTTAAAACAATCCTATATTTTACTATAATAATGATTATAAATTTTGTTAATGCACAACCCAGATATGGTAAAATAAAAACAAGTTTTAAAAAATTAAATTATTAAAAATTAACAACCCAAAAGTGCAAACTTCCACTGTTTACAATAAAATGAACCAGTCAAAATGTGCAACTGTGTATATGGTAAAAAAAGTTTAAAATTTCCACCAAAAAAATGTTGTAAAAACCTTATTCCTGCTTAACAAAACTAAAAAAATGTTTAATATTAATTCTGCTAATGGTGTGCCAGAAAACAATGTGTTAAAATAACTTGCTCATAAGTGTTTTCAACAGAAAACTTGTGTTAAAATTAAACTATAAATATTTGCAAGTCTAAACAATGAAACATGCAACTATTTACATAAAATGATGGGGTACAATATTGATACAAAAAAAAAAAAAACACTAAAGCACTTGCAAATACCATCAGCTTCTAACAATTGACAACACATGTGTATTACACCTGATGGTTGACAAAACATACCAAAAAAAAATATTAACAATCTCCATGATATTTTCTTCATGATATGAAAATCGTCTTCCTTTTCTTTTTGATACTTGATTATATAGAGAGAGGGACATTTCTTCAATGTCTTAATTTTTCCCCTCCAAATGAGAGAGCTATTTCCCTTCACACATGATTCTGAGTAAAATATCCTAAAAATCTTATTTTTTGTTGATAGAAAATGTAAAATGATATATGTAAAGCATAAAAAGGAAAAATGCTCAAATACAAATGAAAGTAAAGCCGATTCATAATGCTATATGCAAAGAAAGCTTGAAATGCCCTTAGTGAGTCAAAAGCGTGTTACATGAAAAAGAAAATTTACAACAGGTAAAAACAAAATGAGAGAAATAAAAAAAAACATTATGATCAATATGTGTTTTACTGTTAAAACTAATTTTGTTCAATTGAAAAAACAAAAATTCCATTATATGAAATAGATCGCTCAAAAGATCAACTTTCAGTTGTTGTTCTCAAAAAATTATCAGCCATAAAGATACATGTAATACAGTAATCTATGAACTAATGATTCTGAAAATACAATGGAATGATGAGATAGAAAAAAATAAATTCCTTAAATGACAGGACATTTCTATTACAACCTTTTCTTATTGTCTTTGAACAACTCAATTAGTCTACAATAAATAACTTTGCAACAACAATAAAAAAGGTTAAATTTCCGTGATGATGCTGATTTTCTCGACTTTGTGAGGCTTTTCGGGAGCAGTCACATGCCAAGGTGAAAGTTCATCACTTCCATTCACTGCAGACCTGTTATGTGTAGAATCCGACTTATTCCGGTTGGATGCAGTTCTGTTGGTTGCCTTGGGGACAGGCAGACTAGTTGAAGAAGATTTGTTTTTTGACCCTTTTGTGGCAGCTGGATTGGAATCCTGGAAAAAAGTTCAATTTATGTTATTATTGGTAATCCAAATATATATCATAAAAAGCACTTTCACTGCCAAATTTTTTTTTCCAATATAAATTCTCAATATTGGAGAAAAAAAAAACATCTCTCCCCTTTGTAAATTAAAGAAAATCTTGGAAATTTTTGCACAATTATTTTAAACTAGAAAAAAGTATTTGGCAGACTAATTTCAATTTTAAGGGCATGAGAAGCAAATATCAAATTGAAAACCAGTCCTATAATTCAAATAGATCAAAGTTTTGTTTAAACAACTGAATAACATAATTAAAAATATTCATGATTATTGAACAAAATTACTAATCAGTGAATACCTTCTCGCAGATTTAATTCTAAAAACAAAAAATTCATTTACCCGGCCATTATCAATTGCTATGTAAATTCTCTCAATCTTTACCTAGCTGCCTTTTTTTTTGGTCATTGCATATTTATAAATTCTATGTAAATATTTGTATATGATTAGTTTTTTTATATGGTACTACATGTACATTGTACATCCTCAAAAATTAATATTGAGTATTTTTTTTTTAAATCTCTTTCCCATTACCTGAGAGAGAGAAAAAGAAAAACATGCATTTCTCCCTTGCATCAATCAGTAAATAATTATCTATGTATCTTTGGAAAACCAAGTCCAACTAATAAGATACATTTTTACATTATATAGAACTGTTTTTAGCATGTTAATGAGGTACATGTAATATGGAATCCATAGAGAAAAAAATATTCTTTAAATTCACTGAATACATTTTCTATACTTTACCAATTTAAAATATTTCAGTAATGACAACAGGTCTACACCGCTAAAATTAAAAAGTAAACTGAAAGTGTTTGCACAATAATAAAAAATTAAAGTGCATTGTGATATTGCAGTTATAAAAAGTGCCAAACAACAAACACACCTCAATAAACACATTTTTAATAAACCCTGAAACCTGTGAAAATCAAAAATTCTTGAGAATTTTTTTTTCAAGAAAAATAAATAGCAGTGGTTGTAAATGTTAATCAACATCCATCCATCACATCAAATTAATCTAACTACAATTAATTCTACATAAAGCATGCCCTACTAAACTACACTAATTTCTACTTTACAATATTGCAATATCCTTACCACCTTTCAATGACGGCTTCAATTTTTTTTTCTTTATCAACAAATGAAGAGCATTATTCTCTGCAGAACTTTTGTAAACACTTGAATATGATGTTATCTGACTTGAATTATAGTAATCCAAATCAATGAGCTCAGTTCAAAATATGTATCTTGTCCCAATAAAAAAAAAATACTACTGCATACAGGGAAATTTTTGTCCTTGTTTTATTTTTGCCCTACCCTCATTTGGGAGAATTTAAAATGGGGCGAATTCAAACAATACAGTATAATTTCTCAAACAAAACTATGACTGGGCGAATTTAAAACGGGGTGAAATTGTTTGCAAGTGTGAAAGGGCGAAAATTACACAGGGGCAAAAATAACCCTGTATTCAGTATTCTAAATGAAAACACTGGCTTCTGGCAAATTTAGTTTGAATTTTTGATTGGATTAACCTTTATTTCATTCAACTTTTAAAAAAAACATTTCGCCATCACTGAAAGGTACAGGCCTGCAGAGATTCACAAAGAGCAAGAGAAAAAAAAATACAAAGACTTACAACAGAGGACACGGGATTTTGATGGTGTTGGTGGTGGTGGTCCTTTTTGGAGGGCAGTGGGATTCCTGACCCTGTGGTGCTTCCACCGCCGGTGGACACTGGCAGGGCAGAGGTGGATCTTAGGACAGGGATAGAGGAAGAGGTTGGGGAGGGAATGTTGGACCCACCCCCCTGGAGAACTGAGGCAGACTGGGTTGCGGGTTTTCTGCTGGAGGGAGTGGGGATGTTGCTGCCTGGGCGCGGAATGTTAGAGGGTTTAGTGGCCTCCATGTTGGTGACTTTCCCTTGGGATTCCATATTTTTTGTGTTTTTCTTGGAGGCTTCAGAATTTTCCTCCACATTTTCCACTTTACTTGAAGCTGTGGAATTTGTGGAAGGAGGTGTCTCAGACTCCATTGATTTTTGCTTCACAAATGGATTGATAGGAGAGGGGGCAATTTCTCTATCAGGTGACTTCAAAAACGGATTGGTGGATCTAGCCACTTTATTTTCATCACGGGTGGAGTTATAGGGATTTGGGATTCTGCTTTTGGGTCTGGGTGCCGGTTTGGGTCTCTCCGCAGTGCTGCAATTTGATGAACTCTCTTGTAGTTCGCCACTACTTTCCTCAACAATCACAGAATCCGCTTCAGGAATGGAGTCGGGGTTGGGAGTTGTTCTGGGAATGACCTTAGGAGGGGGGATGCGACTGGGCGGTGCAGCGGTGTTGAAGCGTGGGATTTTAGAAGCATTGGCGGGGGGAGATTTAGGCGACTGGGGGTGAGACAATTCTTCCTGTGGCTGTGAGCTGGGGGAGGGTGGCTTGGTCTCCACAGGTGAGGCACAGGTGGAACCCTCAGAGCTCTGTGTGGCAAAAAGAAGCAAAGATTCTAATAGCTTAATCCACATGGTAAAATAGAGAAATGAAACTTGGGGGGTGTGATTCTAAGAAATCAAATATGTATATGAATTAGTTTTACCAGCTTCAAGAACACAATTTTAAGCAAACAAAAATTACTGTGTTGTTCCTGTCTGGTTTTGCAAACTTTCTGACTTTACAAATTTATTTGACTTCCTTTTCTCTCCTTTTTTTTAAATTTGAGACTCTTGAAATATTCCTTCTGTTGGATTTATATTTAAATTTCTGTCTGGTTTGCTTCTTTCTACCTTGTTTTTACTGTTTAATTTACAAAGGCTATATGTCTAAAGATCATTTGTAAGAAATACACATGTGCATGTACTTAAAGAAGAGCTTTATAATTATAATTATCCTCTCTATGTTATATTGAATTTAGTAATACAACAGAATTTTTTTAAGTATTTGGTATTTACGAGATAGAATTTCATATAATGTTCATACATGTATAATGATACATACAGTCAAGGGACATAATTATTCGCCACTTCCGCCTAAATCGCGTCACGTTTTCTCGCATGTTCCGTAAAGTAGGGCTGAGCGCTATTTTTAGACAAAAGATTTTCCCATTCTATTTTTATCTTTGTGTTGTAATACTGAAATTGATGACGTGTACACAATATTTTTGTCGTCTGCTATATTGTTTGTCGAAAAATATATCTGAAAACAACATGGGTCGCAAGGGGAAAGAATTAGATATGTCCGTCAGAAATATGGTTGTAGAAGCATATAAAAACAACAGAAATACATCAGAATTGGCGAGGATATTAGGAATCCCTAGGTCAACAATACGTAGTATTGTTAAAAAGTTTGATGAAACGGGACAGGTAGAAAATCGACGAGGAAGAGGGAGGAAGAAAGTGTTTACCGACAGAGACAAAAACAAACTTTCACGTGTAGTTAAAGAAAACAGACGAAGAACTTACGAGGACATTACAGGTATAATAAATGAGGAAAACGATCATAGATTTTGTACAAGGACTATAAAAAGAAAAATTCACGAGCTTGGGTACAAACGAAGGGTTGCCAAGAAAAAAGTCGCTATTCGTGAGGCCAACAAAAAAGCTCGCTGTAAATGGTGCAAGGAGAGGAGAAATTGGACTGTTGATCGTGAGTGGAATAAATGGGTGTTTAGTGATGAAAGCCAGATAGTAATTGGAAAAAATAAGAAAGTTTATATCTGGAGAAAAGACGAGGAAAAGTACAGTGCGCAGCTTGTGTGTCCGCCATCTCGACGACAGCTGAGTATCATGATCTGGGGTTGTGTTTGTATAAAAGGAATGGGAACTTTAACTAGTGTAGAAGGTAACATAAATGCAAGAAAATATATTGAAATATTAGACAACAACCTTTGGCCCGTTTTAGCCAGACATTTTCCAGATAACGCATATGTATTTATGGACGACAATGCTCCCGTTCATAGAGCTAATTTAGTAAAAGAATACATCGCCAATAACAATATAATTACAACATCATGGCCTGCCCAGTCCCCTGATCTAAATATCATCGAGAACATTTGGTTAAAATTGAAAAGAACACTGGAAACCCGTGCCGAATTCATTAACACAAAAGATCAGCTGATGGCGGAAATTCGGACTGCCTGGGAAAATATTCCAACATCCGACATCGAGGCCCTGTATAAGACAATTCCCGGTAGACTAAATGAAGTATTAAAGATGAAAGGCAATTTAACAAAGTATTGAGGTAAGATGGGCATTTATTAATTTTTAAACAGCTCCTAAATATCAAGGTGCGCTTTGTAAAATTTCGGCGGCCATTTTGAAGTGGCGAATAATTATGTCCCTTGACTGTATGTTTTTAATTGTAAGAGTTTGGGTTATTTCAGCATGCAACTGAAGAATTTTTTACAATATGTGCACTGTACATTCAGTACAAAAAGCACTTGTACATTTTTTCATGCAAGAAATGACTTAAAAGAAAAGTTTTTTATATGTATCTTGTTATTCTAAATATTTCTATTTTCACCATTAGTAAAAAGAAGTTTTTTTTTTCTCCAATCATTTAAGAGTTGAAAAAGACAGCTCTACATTAGAAAATGGCAGATGGAGAAAATCTAAGTTGTACAATGATCTTACTGCATGTCCTATTCCTTAAAATTAAATTTCAAGGACCCTATAAAGTGAACAGCATATCTTAAGAGCACTGGTCTCTAAAGGTTCAATTACAGTTAACAGGGCATCTACTGGGGATAATTGTGTTACCTAAATTAATGATGTGTTCTCTCTACATACCCTAAGATCAACAAGACTTGAAATTTGTGTCTTTTCAAAAAACAGGTTTGAAATTTATTGTAAATCAAATATATCCTAAATTTAAGGCAGCTAAAAAAATTGTATAAATTGAAGTCATTTGAAGAAATTTGAAATAAATCAAAAATAATTTGTTACAAAGTTTAGATTTCTAACAGCAAGATTATCACTTTGTGTCAGTTTCCCGATCCATTGAAGCATGAAAATTAAGTAAAAGCAAGAAACATTTAGGAGAAGAAAATAAAATTCTGCACAACCAGTTCTGAAGCGCAACTAAAGTCAAAAATCACAACCCAAGAACATTAGAAGAATTTTCTCTGAGAAATGACAAACGGTGGGTGCCCTGCTTACCTGGGTAGGGGAATGAACTCTGGGAGGGGCGGTGTTTACGTCGAAGACCTCATTGTCCAACTGATGGGTGAGGGAGGGTCTGTCAGTTCTATGTACAATCAAAAATTGAAAAATTTATTATTAGTTATAAAGCCTCATCTTTCATTTACTGTAAGTCGTTTCAACTCCACGGTGTTAAAATTTCACGATATCTCAAAAAGTACCAATTGTGATGGTTTTAATTTCATGCTACAGAAATTAATTCAAATTTTTGTATATGTATAAGCATTTAAACATTTTTAAAAACTAATAATAGCATTCGCGATGGGTTTAATTTCACGAAAAAATGATAAATCGCGAACATAGCAAAATTTAAACCATCGTGATTATTTGCCGATCTACAGTATGTTAATGTATTTTGCATGCTTTATTCACTAAGCTTCTTTTGTTGATCTTTACTCAAACAAACATATATCATGGCTTACCCTTTGTAACTTGAGGAAGAGCTTGTCTTAGAAAATTGTCTTCTTCTTGGACTGTCAAGAAAAGTGGACCAAATAAATATAGACTGTAATTTTCTATGTTATTACATTATTTTAATGTGCACAAAGCATAGACAGGTGTGAGACAAGCACATGGTATGTGTTCTATGAATATCTATCAATATCTATCAATGCATGCTGCAAAAATTCTCTAGTTGTACACATATTCTGAGTAAAGTTAATAAAATAAATTTTAAAATTCCAAATATTTGTTGCTATATTGTAAGAGTAAAAAAAGGTTTATTTCAATGCAGGAAAAAAATTCATTGCAGGTACACAAAGTACAAGTATATGAAAATTAAATTATTTACATGATTTTAGGAGGTGAAATCCTTCTCGTAACAGTGACTGCTAATGCTAAATTCAATTATCATTATTTTCATTTTTTTTTTTTTTAGAAAATTAAAAAAATAAAGTGCACTCTCTAGATTTTTTAACTGTTTAAAATTGGCAAAGAATTTTCTTTGATTTTTATGTACATCTCATATACCTGTATCTTTTGTTAAAAAGTCGGAATTAAAATTTTCCTAAACATAACTAGGCCATGAAAACATTGCATATTTATTTTCAGAAACATCAAAAGATGTACCAAGCAAAACAATCATCTGACTTTACCAGGCACTTTAGATAAAACACAACAAAAAAAAGCACGAGCTTCAAACAAAAAGTGCTTCACAAACAAAATGTACCTGTGAGGGGCATCTACAATATCAATAGGGGGAATGTCAACTTTAAGCTTCGCTTTCTCTTTGTCAATATCATCGCCTTCTTCTTCGGAATGTTCATCCTCACTGCTGCTCTCAGTACTGTAAGCAAGGGTGTGTAAACCAAGTTAGGTAGTGACAGAGAGAGAGTGTGTGTGTGTGACACTGGCACTGGTAAAACTAGCTGACTATAATGGCAACACAAAGCTAAGGACAAGCAAAAACACACATGGCACTGCTTACTGAGTATCTTAATTATGATTTTAAAAATAAAATGTTAATATTTTCTCTACTGTTTACACATGAGATCAGAAATTTTTGCCAGAGTTAATTTTTCTTGTTTTCCTTGGTTAAAAAGACCCCTGATACAGAATTTATGTCCTCTGTGTAATAATTTAATGTTCATTTCTTCAGCCCAAAGTCAAATCCCCCATGAACCAGTATTTTTCCCCTCCAACCAAAAAAAAATGAACCCTCTGAAAATAAATGACTTTATGGTAGACTTGATTAAAATTTCCACTTCTCTTTCTTTCAAGTTGCAACAAAATAAAATTTTATTAATAATTAGCATTTATAATTGTCCATTTATACAGTTTGCTACTACATGCATTTTTTGTTTCTGGTTATCCATTTATATAAACAAGGAGGAAGCTCAACATTCAGACATTCAACAAATCAGATACGGGACAGAGGGAACGTGCAGAATTTCATCACAGAACATCAAAATGATCAATGACGACAAAAATCTCATAATTGTAAAAAAAAAAAACAACAGAAATAATAAATGTCATATGCTGAATGATATTCTGAAGTTGACAAATGTTTAATCTTTTTCATCACACCATAATTTTTTTTATCAAATAGTATCAGTCATATTCTTTTGGGAAAACATATGTGAAAATGTGAAAATTTTTCTTAATTTGAATAAATTAATTATATCTTTTTTATAAACATCTTACTTTCATATACCCGTACTGTATTTTTGCAGCATTTTGTGAATGTTCTGATACTTGTTTAATTTTTTAAAAATTGTTTTTCTTATAAGGGGGGGGGGGGGGGGGGGTCTTGAATAAAAGTTGCTGCCCTTTTGGGAAGGGGTGATGTTTGATAAGGTTTTGTTTTTCATTTGCAAAGAAGGGGTGGGGGTTGGGGGTAAGTCTCCTCTATAAATTCTGTCTCATCACTCACCTCCTGCTGTCGCTCTCAACAAAACTCTCATCTTTTACATTGACTTCATCCACCACTGGTGCTACAATAATAGAATCATATCTAAATCAGTCATATAGTTACATATCTCAATTATATTCAGATGTTTCATTCAAATTTATACTGATCTTTTTATTGGCATCAAAATCTTAACTTTTGAAAAATATGGCTTATTTTCATGTATGCAGTACCTGCATAAGTATTTTCAAACTAAGAAAGTGTTTTTAAAGTTTTGAAATGAAAGACAGTAGCCAAAAAAAAAAATTTCCCTCAAGTGTTATTTTTTTAGAAGTGTACAAAAAAAAGTTCAAAATGTTCAGATAAATATTATGAGATTTAAGCAAAAAAGAGTTCAAGTTAATTTTATGAAAATTCAAATTTAAACAAAAAGGTTTTCAGATACATGTAGATATTATAAGACCTAAATGTATATGCCGGAGAACAGAAAACAGATTAAGTAAATACATATTATAAACTCTTAAATATGACACCTTTCTTCAATTCTTCCTCCATTTTGGCTTTGAAGATGTTACACTTCATCTGGTCGGGAGGAATGGTGGCGGCTCCCCCAGCAAACTTCACCTGGTTGTTCTTAAAGCTGTTAACGTTGGGTTTGGGGCGGGGTGGTACCGTATTGTGTTTTGGCGCCGACTCGTCAAGACCCTTTATTCTGGCCTGAGCTATCTCTGAAGCTTCTAAAGAGGAGGAGAAAAACAAAGTGACCATTACAAAAGCAACTTCATTTTCAGAGAGAGAGATTTTCATCAACATTTCCAATTATCTAAGTTAGAGGTGTGTTTATATATGAATAAAATGCATACATCTTGAATAAAAAATGTATTTATCTTTCTAACTTTCACAGCCTAATTTTACATGAACTTGCTTTAATGCTTTAAAATTTGCTGGCTATATGTTTTTAAAGAAAGGAATATTTTCAAGCTTAAGCAAAACAACAGGTAATGTTGGAATATAACACTGAACTTCTGGAAGTTTCATTCATGCAAAAAACACAAATATTTAAAATCAGAAAAATTTTAAAACAATCTGAAAACAAAAATTGAAATATACTGCAAGGGCACATCTCCCATCCCACCCCCCTCTCTTTAGCCCCCTTAATTCCCCAATTACTAATGTATTTTAGCCTTACATAGTGAAAGATAAAGTGGACAAGAAAAAGTAACAGAAAACAGTCAGGTGGATTATGAAAAAAGCCAAGACCATAAAATGCCCCGTCAAAAGACGGTCGTTTAATCAAAAAAAAAACTGCGTGAATAATGAGGGGGGTGTCACAACCATGCAGGGGAAGAAACTCTATTAACTTACCTCCATGTGCTAGCAGAATGCAAGAGTAAGAAGTTTTATCAATAATGAGAAGAACTGAAGACTGGATAGAGGCTCAAGGAAATGTATGGACATGCTATTCAAGGTTTTGTTTGACTATCACATTTTACAGAAATTTTCAAATTATTAAGAAATTTAAGGGAAGCATAGTATGTAAATATATCAAACATGCAAGTGCATGAAAATGAAAATGAATTTCAGACGTTTTTTGTTGAAAATTCAAATTGGACATCTACTGATAAATGTTATATTAAAGTAAGGAGTATCTGGACAGTTCATGACATTATTTCCTATCTTGCTTGTAACAGGAGTTTTGATTGGTTAGCAAATCGGGCATAAATTTCAGTACACCCTACTCTGAGTGGGAGGTAAATAACATGACATCAAAATGCACTGTAGGACGTAGAAAAGCTTATCGATAGCTTGAAACACAATTGAATGGACTTGTTCATGAAAAATTATTTCGTTTGGGTACAAAGGTAATAAATAAATAAAGAGAGTAATTGACAAAGTGTTATAAAGCCTGATTTAAGTGGTTGAAGAGATAGAGTACCTCTTATATAGTTTACTTATTATGTAAACATAGTTCTTACTGACCTCTGAGGCTGATTTCTGGTTCTGGGGGAGGAGGGGGGAGTGGTGCCCGTGCTTTGGAGGATCCAGCTGCTTTAGGGGACAGAGGTGGATCCACTGTGGCGGAGGCTTTCTTTTCATTCTCTGTTTTAATTAGGGCATCCAATCGATCCATAGCACCTGCTTAATACAGAGCATAATATTCATTTATTAGCAAAAAAGAAAACTTTAACAGCCAAATTTACTCCTCCCTTACAAATCAATCGTGTTCATAATGCCATGCTTTGTACAAAGGAAGTCAAAAGTCTTTATTTTAAAAAATCTGAAGGTTATTTTAATTTAGATCCATACACCTTAGTGGAAAAATTGTGTCTCAATAAAATCAAACAATTATACAATTATTTATTTTTCACTTTTTTCATTATTCAGTAGATATTAATCTTAAACTATGCATGATAAGTCTCTATTACAATCTGAGAGATTCAAAAACAATGGTACCTGTAGCAGAGGGGGACACTGCTCCGTTGATCTGTGGAGATTTGGGGGGTGGAGTCACGGGGGTGGCCTCTGGGGTAGTGGGGGACTGAGGGGGAACTTTGTTAGTCTCCACCTGAACCCTCCGCCTGTAGAATGATAACATACTTATACAATAGTTCAGTTTTAAAATCAAAGTATCGTTAAATTACTGGAAAAATGTCAATAGGTATATTTTGGTTTACTTCTTTCTCCTTCAAGTTTTCTTGTACTATATCTTAAAGGTAAAATAATTAACCAAATTATTTCATGGCACACTTGATTTATTTTAAAAAACATAAAAATTATTTGAAAATACTTTAAGTTTCAGACTTTTATTTTTTCTGCCTGTAGTTAAAACTCTTTTTTTTCAAAAAAAATTTTTACACTGAACTGGGCTTAAAACTCCTGAATCGGTAAAAATATTTTATTAAATATGAGGAAAAAAGCCAGTTTGGGAGTCTCTCCTCTCATTACCTTTCTTTTTCCGCCTCTCTTCTCCTCTTTCGTTCTGCCTCCCGTTTCATGGCCTCTTCCCGCTCTCGTTTCTCAAAAGTAGGTCGCCTCGAGTATCTCTGGCTTCCTTTCCTCTCGAACTTCACACTCCGTCGAGCACGGCTTACAGAGGCTGTCTGATATTCTGTCCTCCCACTGAAAGGAAGTATATTAATGTGATTAAGAAAAATCCATCACACATCATTTGATATTAAACGGTGCATCAATCATACAATTCCCATGAGGTGCCTAGCTTTACACTTTATCAAGTTTATTTGAGCATGGAAAACATCTTTCCAAAAGAAAAACATACGAAATTTTACAATGAGGACAGACCGAGAGATAACAGATAAAACTTGAATTATGAAAGCTTGTTTTAAAACTGTAAAATCACATATTTTTGTGGGTTAAAATTCAAACAGTTTGTTTTGTTTTTTTCAAGGGAGATTTGATTATAATTATGTAACCAAGTTTTTATACACTTCATCAAATACTTGACTTTATATAGGTTTCTTCATACCACAAAAGCACAAAAAAATATACCCTCCCTACAAAATTTTGTGATCTCATAGCAATACTTCTACAAATTCTTTCAAAAAATGTTACAAGTATGGCAATTCAGAAACAGAGTTATCTCCATTAAACTTTATCTCTCATCTTTTACCTGTATCTAAATCTTGATCCCATTCTAAGGAAGTTAAAATTTGTGATTTCATAGTAATACTTATACAAAATCTTGCAAAACATGTTACAAGTACAGCAATTCAGAATCTGAGTTATCTCTCTGAAATTGCACCTCTCCCAATTTTTTTACCTGTATCTAAACCTTGATCCCATTCTGAAGAAGTTCTGCCTGGCGTTTGGTCCCTTGACGGGCCCCTTAAGTCTGAAGAAGGCGTGATGCTCTATCGCACACTTCCACAGGTGTTTGGCTACCTTCTCGCTGTGCAGGCGGAAGACGAACGTGTGTTCTTGTTCCCGCCCCTCGTCGTCGTCTTCCACGACCACCAGTTTAAGCTTCTTTCCGTGGAAATCCAACTTTGTCATCTTAGGCCTGTGGAGATTGACAAAACTCCCAAGTTTTATAATATTCAAGAGTATTTATAAGGGGAAAATTGAGAAAAATTATATATTTTGCAATTTTTTTAAGTATTCAATTTACATACAATTTATTAATGTAGTATATGTCTAGTATCTATCTCACTTTTACCAAAATAAAAATATGATTTTAAATCTTTATAAATTGATTCTAAGAATTTCAAGAACTAAAACAAGGTATATTTTAGTTTAACGCATCAAAAAAAAAATTTCTGTTTCACTTTCGATTTGCTTGTATGATTGAGTAACAATGTACAATAAACTATAAAATGTATTTGCTATTTAAGTTCCACATCAGTAATACCAAAAGAAAAGTCCAATTTTCTGTTGACTCTCAAACACCAGGATTCCCGTGGGAGTAAGTCCTAACTTGTACTCCTGTCCGTCTCGACCCTGGAAAGAAAATACATGTACATTTCAAATTGAGTTATCTTATTATCACTACGTTCAAATAAAAATAAAATGTTTTTAAAAATGTTTCAACATGTGTATAATATTTGTATTCTTCACATAAACTACATCAGTGAAATAATTTTCTTTGAAAAAATTATTTTTCAATAAATAATGAGCATTGTCGTCATTATTATATTGTCATTTCTCTGTTTAAATCAACACAGATATAAATCTCCTGATAAACTGTATATACAGTGAAAACTGTTTAATCCAACACCCATGCAATCCGACATCCTGTCTATTCCGACAAAGAATTTGTCTCCCAGTGCATGTTAGATAAAACATGTTTCACTGTATATCCTTCTTCAACACTCACCATGACAGTATGCATGTCCACCCCGTACATCTCTAGAAACTTGGCCTTCATTAAAAAGTTCATTTCTGATTGGGCTGGTGTCTGGCCCCTGAAATGGTGCAATGTCTGATTAGATTTTTGACACAGTCAACAGTTTGATAAACTGATTTTGAATTATGATACAGTAAAAGTATTTTATAAGCAAGTAACTGAGACTTGGAATTCGGCTTCCTTATAATCTTGATTTATCATATTATCAGAGCTGCCAACATTCTGAAATGACAAATAGTAAGGCATGGTCTAGGGACCACCTAGGCCCTCTGCCGCTGAAGATGTTTTGTAAATGAACATGCAATCTGAGGCATGTTTCTATTTTGTTTACTTTAAAACATTGACATGAATGTGATCGGCCTTCTAAAACCGAAACGTTGATACAAGCAAGCGTTGTAAGAATTATGAATACGAGGGGTTATCAAAAAGTTCATGGACTGAGGCTATAAAATTAATACTATGGTGTATGAGCTTACAAAATTTATAAGGAGCATAAAGCAACAAAATATAAAGAAATTTTGAAAATTTTAGCTTGATACGTTCATTATTCCCCAAATTATTATAAAATAAAGACGACATTATATGATCACCCGGCGCCGTCGCCGTTTAGTTTCATGACGTCCGACAACGTCATTATTTTTCAATGTCCACTTATTCTACTTCGTATACTTATTTTGATGAGATTCTCTAGAGCTAAGTAATCATTAATGACTTCAACCCGTCTTGTTTTTATGACTTAACAATGTCATGAACAGCAGCTCTCAGTGCATATATTATCACAAATTTACACTGGGAACATCCTCGCTTGATTGTGTCAGCATAAGTTCAATATAGCTATAAAACACATGATCAACTTCAAAGTAGATTTTGAATACTACAAATCGACATTAACTTTGCATCCCTTTTCTCTCTGAATCTATTTTGGCAATAAAAAACAAGTAATCTGGATGCAATTCTATTCTCCGTAGCCAGTTTAAAAATTTCCTAGGTGTATACCAGTTTTTCAAGGGGCAAAACTTTATAGAATGTTGGAAAATGAAACCCCTCACCCTTTTTGACGTCAAGTTCAAGGCAATATTTGTTTGGATACTCCATGTAAAATTTAAAATAAAATTTCATAGAACTTCCAGAATGAGGTAAAAATTTCATATTTTATGGAGCAAAAGTGTTCCAACACATACCTGAATTAACGGAATTTTTGGATGCCAAATGTCCATATCAAAATAGTTTATCTTAGTTACACTTAGGTCGAAAAAAACGCCGTTTTCGAGGTTGCGCCGCCTGGACATACCTTTGCTTACAAAAACTTTACTAATTTATTTAAAAATAAAATTTATGATTTGTGATTTATTCCATAGATAGAAAAGATGAGGATAAATAAATGTTTTAAAATTCATTGATGTACCTAAAGCGGTTTTAATTTTATGGCGCTAGTCCACAAACTTTTTGATAGCCCCTTGTATATTATAATAGTAGAAAATATGTAGTCTGCCAGCTATGAAAATACGGGTATTATAAACTTTGAACGAAAAAAACTGCAATCGGAAGAATATAGAGAGAAATTGTAAGGTGTATTTTAGATGCTGATTTCGTACGCCTTACGCCAAAATCGTAAGGGTTGGCAGCTCTGTATTATGGAACGCATGGAAAAGTTTCAAAAAGTATTCAATAAAGGTTTCCTTATAATTAAGATTTCATTGTAAAAGATGTGATTTGTGATTATTTAACAACCAAATTTTGCATATATTCATCAAAGTAAAGCAAGCATGACATGCCTAAGATTTGATCTGACCAGGGTTCTGTTAAGATTATAGGATCAGTAGCTGATCAAATCCTGTGGCTTCCCATAATAACAGCAAATGTTGGATTTACCCATTTTTGTGCAGATTTCTGCTACAGACATAATCAATTCTTATTTTGGTACAGTACTTACGTTTTAGTTTTATATGCTTCAAATATGGCAAGTTCTAGTTCCTCTGTCTGATCGTGGACAAAGCGGAACTCTGACACGAGGCCCGGCGTGTGAACCTCTGGATCAAAGTCTCCCAGCTCAGCTACAAAATAATAGTACACATTAAATTACACGGTCCAAATCAAAACTGCAATGTATACTGTACATGTGGTAATTTTCAAAATGTAAATGCTGCTTGTATACAATTTCATAAAACCACTATAACACATTAATTTTTTCTTTCCTTCATATATTGAGACCTTTGAATATGTTAAAGCTTTTTCCAAGTCCTGTTGAGTTTGAGATAATGAGGTTTAAATGTAGTTTGTTTTGACTCACATTGTAGAGATTCTGCAGCCAGTTCTATCAGCACGTCTTGTGGACATGGTAACCGTCCTGAGTAGATGTCATTCTTCACTTGGAGAAAGAACTGGTACCTTTCAAAAAAGAACAAATCATGATAGCAAACAATGTTAAGTATCTTTTGATTAGTGTCTAGCTTATTTTGTGAATTGGGATGGTCAGAGAGGTCAGCAATGGCTAACTTTCCCAAATTAGTTTTCCAGTAGGCTAGAAATCTTAAGATTGCATTGGTTCACAATGACAAATATTTATAATCCAGAGATTCTTGCAATAAATGACAGTTACATCGTAAATGCAATGCCTAAGTACTGCTTTCTCTACTCTGACAAGAAAGAAGCCAGTTAAATTCGCATTTGTAATAAAAAAAGTTTCTAGTAGAAGACACAGACCACCCTGACTCTATGCATTCTAGGGGAGACAGATTATTGTGATGCAGCTGCAATTAATGAAGCTGATTTTTTTTTATGCGGTCAAAAAAAGGCGGGTTAATTTACTGCATTCGGCAGATAACTGTGATGCAGCACAGAAGAAAGTGGGCTTTACCTGGTCAACTCTTCATGCAGGTTGTTAGGTTCTGAAGAGTAAAACTTCACCCGAAATCGAAAGGTGTATGGAGGACCAACTGCAAGAAATGGTAAAAATTATTATACATTCATCATTAGCAATGAAATTTTTACAATGTACAATACACAAGATGTGACTTAGCTTTTTTTGTGCAAAAGTAAATTTTTTTTTTAACTCAATCGATCCCAAAAAAGAAAACCTCTTGTGAGAAACTGGGTTTTCCTCAGGAATTTCCAAGGCTTGATTCATATCACAATCATATCACAATCATATGCATGAAGACAGATAGTGGGGACCCTTATGTTGGTTTGTTCCTTAATGTTACAGGGTTATCACTTACAGTGTATCAGAGAGTGAAAGTACTTGCATGTAAATGAAGTACACGTGTGCTAGTAAACACTCTGAATATTACTATTAAAAAAGGAATTACAGTCCATACAACTATGGAAGCATAAAGTTGTGATTAAAAGAGTGTTTGATTTTTAATTTTCATAAAATCCGATAATTTTACCTTGCGAAAGATATGTGAGAAAAAATTGCCATCATTCATTACATATCAAACATAACAAACAGCAAAATGGTTATTATAATTAATATTAATGTACTTACTTTTGACCTGCTTTTTGATCTTTTTAGTTGGGTCAAGCCATTGCCACAATTGAAGTTAATTGTATTGAGCTTTTAATTCAATTAACATGATTAAAATATTTATTAAACACATTTTGTCAATATGACAAGTTTATTGTGTTTAGACATGTTAGAGTAACAAAAAATTATCCCATAAAATAATCAGTGTTTGAATTTTCTTTTCTCTTTTTCAACTTTCACAAGTTTTGCATTGTACTGGACAGCAATTTTTATCCAACAGTTCTTGATCTTTTATTTGATACTACAGAAAAATCTCTTTAGTACAAACATGGATATTGCGATCTCCTGGATCCCCAGCTATATAAATTTTAAGAATTCCCATTATAGATAAAACGAATTACGGATAAAGCAAAGTAATTTCATAGGTCCCAGTGACTTCGTTATAACTGAGTTTTACTGTATTAGTATACATACAGAGACGCTGTGATGGTCTGTATACTGAAGTCCAAAATAGTCTTTCTCCACAAGGTCCAGGTGATAAAATACGTGTTCATACAGCTCATGGCCCTCCGCTTTCTTCTGCAATTATAAATTATTTGAATGTGTTATTGTGTTTGTTCATCAAAGAGGCTGATTAAGTCACTGAAATAACCGTGCTAAAAAGTGAAAACCCATGGGCATCATTCATGCAATTTCAGTGTCATGGAATATGCTTATGTTGCATATAAATTCTAGCTAAAAAAGCAATAATTATTAAATTTATAATCTATTGGGGAAAAAACTTTAACATGAAAACATGATGCTGGACAATTCAAGGGGTGGATGTTTCATTGTTTTGGTAAAGTGGCAGAGTTGTCCTGACATGTAAGAATTGAAATAGCAGGGTCCACACTAGAAAAGTAGAAGGGGTTCTTCCAGGGGATTAAGTCATTATAGGACTGTGTGGAAATTCCCCGACCCATGGGTCTTAGCAACAACCCCTGAGTGGGGGTGGGGTTCCACATTCAAAAAGAAAAAAATTAAATGTATATACTGGTATATATATTTCCATTTGTTTGATATTATTCAACTTCAAATATTTTTAACAATTAATCAGCACAATTATCTCCTCTAAATAAATACATTGAAAATTTTTATTCAGCCCTTCCCCTCCATCCCTCGATCCCAATAACCTGAGTGGCTTGATCATCTAACAGTTATAAAATATACTAACAATATCTAACAGTGTATTTGTAGCTATTTCAGATTTAATACCGATAGTATTACTTTTTACTTTACCCATCTCATCTGATTTAAAATGCTTGGCTAGACATACATGTATATCATTTATATGATACCTAAATCCAAACACACTTGTAACAAAACAGACAATTTATGTCAAAATAAACAGAGAAATCATTTCAGTTATGGCCCCCATGTCAACTTTCTGAGGTCAACTTTCATCTTTAAATGTCCAACATTTGATGTATGTACCTAGTATTTTAAAAATGTAAATTTCATTTTAAAATCAAAGTCAACAAACCCAAAAATTTAATGTTACCCATTTATCAAATTCAAATATCTCTTCAGGATATGAATGTAAAATCATCATCTGCCATACGAAATAAAGACATTTAACTAGCTTCACTATGATCGCCCTCGCAAACATCATAAATGAAACATGAAAAATATTTTTTCAATGTGTTAAAATTCTGCAAATGTTATCTTTTCTATCGGGTACACTTAGTGACATTTTGAAACAAGTATATGAAGTAGGTAGATTTTTTTTACTCTCAAAAAAAGGAAAGATCAGATAAGTGCGATACACATTTCTATTTGACAGATCGACAGCACTTCACATGAATTGAGATTTTGTTTTGAAAGAAAAATAGGGAACTGACTGAATATTCACGGTGTTAATCCAATTTAAAAGAAAAACATTTCTTCAAGGACATTCATGAGGGATTTTCTTGATTCCAAAGTCCCAATTCAGCATTCAATTTGCTAATAGTAATAATTCTGCAGAATGCCTTAGCATTAACGTTAACATTTATAAACCTGATAATTAAAATAATTTACTAATGTTTGAAATATACCTGGTATATTAAATAGGCAATATGTCACAAATACTAATTACAAATAATTAATTTGATGATTGCATTTATTTAACTCAAGGAATTGAAATCAGATTTAATCAGTGATAAAAAGGTGTTCCATATTTTAAATCTGTCTGCTCAGCTATTGACTTAAAAATTCTCCCTTAATTCAAAATTGTTGAGATTTTATACACTACAGGTGCCTTTTAATTTAATACAAAGCATGTAACCAGACAGGGTTTATAAGTGCATATGAAGTGATGCTGAAGGCATATTTTTAACAGTGTGGTGTCATATATCTCTTTACTTTAAAAGGTGTCATTAAGTACAAATTTCCTGTAACACAGAGGCAATCTGGACTAACACATAATTTTAACATGTTTAACGAGCAAAAAAAAAATAATTTTAAAAATGCCTCAACATGACATGAACAGACATTTTAAAAGCAAGTAGTGTTTGCAAAGGAATGTTGCACAAATATGTTTATACACATATTGTCAAATTTTAACACAATTTAAACAAAGCTGCTAATTCTCTTGAAAGATAAAAACCATAGATCATGAAGATGGAGTACTTATTTGAACAAAGATCTTTAATATCTGAGCAAAAACAGACAGCAACAGATGGCTATTAAAGCATTTGACTTTGTTGCAGTCAAATTATCAATATTTCCCTCAAATAAACTATTATGCATGTACATGCATATGACTTGTATTACATCAAAATACTCCTTTCTTCCTTGATGTTCTACTAGATGGATATCGATGAATTTCTTAACCATTATCATAATCATGCCAAAGTTTAAACCAGTTACCTTCTATAAAAGAAATGACCCCACCCACCCCGTCCCTTTCTACCAAAAAAGATCTGTTAGTTAACACATGGTTAATCAAAATTGAATGTTAGCCAAACACTGACAACAAGTCAACATTAAAATCTCTCTCTCATTCTCTCTCTCTCTCTCTCTCTCTCAATAATCCCCTACTTTAAAATCCATCTCAATAATCTGTGTTCTGGTTGACAGATCGAGATGTCACAAAACACAATGTAGGAACAAATCAGCTGATTTTATCTAAACATGCCTCTTATTCTCTCATTCCAAGATACAAATCGACTTTACAGCATTACATAGGTACACCTGACATATTCCTCTGTAATCTCAGGTTTCTTGTCAGGTTAAAACATTCTTCTTTTTCACCTATCAATGATGTTTTAAAATAGTTTATATTTTGTTTTGTTTTTTCCCTGTGTCATCTCAAACGAGTGAAAGATATACAGACAAGTGATTTTAAAGCATTTAGCTGAAAATTTTCACCCTAGATCTGCTGCTGATAATGCAGATGACATATCATTTAAATGAAATATGAAGATAGCCAACAGTAATTTCTCAAATATTCATTGAAGAAATACAAATTACCACACGACATGCAGACCACTGAAAAATATATTATAATATGTTACGGTAATAAAGATTTTGTGAGAGTCTCAAGAGAGTTACATTGTAGCTGTGCAGTGTGTAAAGTGCAGGCGGAGTTATGAAGAGATGAGATGGCTATACCCCTAATGTAACAGATGGAAGGATAAAAAGATGACACTCTCCCATGATTTTTCAAAAATACTAAATGTGTTATACTATACTTGTTATACTGTACTTTTATTTCAGTGACCCTAAAATGGGCTACAATTACTGTAGATCACTAAATTTTCGTGACACCTTATTTTCGCAAGATTATAGTCATTTACTTTTAATTAGCGAGACAAAATTTTCATGAATTGTGGGTATTGCTCTATTTTATCTTAAGGAATACTATTATACGCGAGAATTAAAATTTCGCTAGCACACTGTCTCGCACACTGTCTCGCGTAATTACGCGAAAATAAAGTTCTCGTGAATAAAAAATGATTTACAGTAGTTAATAATGTCTTACAGTACTGTGATATCATACAAAAGAGGCTGGGGGCAGAACTAATTATCTGATTAGCTCATTTAGACATGCAGGTTTAAGTGTTATGCAATGTCTGTAAGTATCATTTTCCTTTTTAAACAAGTGCTTAAAACCCACTTCATGTACTGCAAACTCAGAAGAACTGCCAAAGACTTGGACACAAGGATGAAGTGTATGAAGCATCAAGAAAACTATTATAAGATATGGTCACCCATCCCCTGACAATATCTTTTTCCTTGACAAAATCCAGGAAATTATTTTAATCTTTGAGCTTCTGAGTGAGCCTGATTAGAGAGCAAATTCCTTAGTAGTTAACTCTCAAGGTTGTCAAGTTAAAAAAGGTACACAGTTAATTCACCTGCTGATAATGGCATAACTGAAGTGTAAACACAACAAAGAAGATCTAACACACAGGGGCGAAAAATAGTATTACTTGTACAATGGCCATCTGTTTAAAAACAGCATGTAGGGTGAGAGAACAGATTATCATATCAGGTTACTAGGCCTTTCTTATAGTCAGTCATTACTTGTTGTAAATTGTGCCTGAGTTATACATACAAGAATGATACAAGTTTATAATGCCTCCTCATTTTTACAAACTAAGCTATAAACTGTTCAAATGCATGTACTTTTGGTGCATTTCTACCCATAACTGATAAATTGTCCATGTTGTCATATCCAACCACAAACCATAGGAGAATCTACTATTCTGAGTCAATGCATGTACTATTTTTCAATTATCCTTTCAATTTATGTTTTGTCATATATTTTTTGAATGGGTTTCCAATAATTTCATCCAGCCTGCAACATGTATTTTCATCAACATTAAAAATTACTTAAGGTTTAATTAAAATCATTCAATGAAAACTTAAGAATATCTTTTAATATTTTTATATTCTAGACTATTTTGATTTTGAATAATTCACTTCATGTAACCTGCAGAAAATAACATTTATTTTCTGCACACATGCATCCATCATGTCTATAGAGGAATGAAAATCAAACAGTTGAAATATATCATTAAATACTCATTAGCAATATTTATTTTATCAATTCTTGATCAGATTAAATGCCCGGGTGTTCCAGTTTAAATATTTTGAGCGCTTTCTTTGCCCAGCTGTTTTGTCATCAGACCTGCTGATCAGATTACCATTATGTGGTCACCCAAGTCATAAAAATCCAATTAAAGGCTTGTGGTCAGCTAGTGCAGAATAAGAAAATCTCATTAAAATATGTTTAAATGGGATTAACTCCAACCTTACAGCAATCAAAATTAAACTGTATAATTCTAGACTACTGTTTGAAAAATAAAATTTATGAAATCCAGAAAAAGAAGCTGCACCTATTTTTTTAAACATTTTTTTTTAAGAAAGGATTGATTATCATGATTACATAGAATGATACTTTGTCAATCAAAAGGGGGAGGGTTATTAACAATGTTAAATGCAAATTTACACTTACGCAAAAATATATGTGCACATATCATTGCATATTAGTGCATAATTTTATTCTCAATGGGCCTTATGTTAATTCACACCCACTTAAAATATTTCAGTATATATATAAGTAATGTTATCTTATCGTCTTTAAACCTTTCACTCTCTATCTTTCAATAAAATGAATGGGCCAAAAGACATGTATTTATAAACTGTATTATTAAATACTAAAATATTTAAAACTGCTGATGTAATCCTCCAAAACATGCATCCAGAAAGGTGACACCCCTCTTGTCCTACAACATCCCCCCAGATAGGTGAAGTACACAGTCAAAACATTGATTTACAGTACTACACTGTGTGACAATCTATATCCCTCAGGCTCACCTTGGGAATCAATAAAACCAATATCTGTAATCAATATCTATCACTGAACAGTTAAATCAGGTCACGGTCTGAATTTATAATGCTACCTTGGTACAACTTTTTTTTAAAACCTGATAGAATTGTTAAACTTTCTTTTTTATATATATCTACCTTTTGGCCATATGTAGGAATTCAAAGATTTAGTTTTACATTCATGTATCTTGATTTGCAGTGCTACTGTGGTTCAATATGTCACATTATTCACCAATGAATAAATTCATTCACAATGATGTTACACGTTTCACCACAAGGAGAATACCAAAAGCTTGGTATTTTTAGGCTCAATAGCAGAAAACCAAGCTTATTACTTTGGGTTTTTTTTAGCAAGATTAATTATATAATCATGGTAATAAATTGATTTTCATTTCTGGCACTTTGTTTACTACCAACTATAAGTTATTTATTAGTATGCTTTATGGTAACTGATCATTTTTTAGTACTAAGAATATTCTTTAAACATGTAAAAAATGAATAAAAATTTTCTACTGTTGAATGTATCAATCCCTTAAAAAAGGTTTTGCTTTCAAATGCCATAACTGGGATTACCCTTACACATAACAACATGATGAACATATAGATTGACAAAACCGTCAAAGCTTAGAAATACGGAATAAATTCAGAGTAAACAGTGTCTCTCTCCATTTTCTAAGATGAGCAGTTAATCTTCTTACTAAATGTATTGTTATGAATTTGCTGAGGTAAGTTCTACAATCCTGTAAAGATTACAATTCCATGAATGTGTAGTGTTGTTCAATGCCCTATAATTCCTTACTTAATGGATTTAAATGCAAGATCTCTCAATGTAATGTTGACACTGATATCTGATCATGTATATATTGATATAAATTTAACTTTCAGTAAAAGTTTTACTGATTAATGTGATTAAAAAATAAAGCTTAATGATATGTGCTTGACTTCTGAGCAAAAAAATGTAATACGCAATATACTTTAATGATGGTAAAAATGAAATATTGTGCTGTGTTCCGTGTTTCGTAACAATGCTATAATGCCATTTGTCATTAGTTTCTTTACACAAGTGCTTTGCATTCAGTGAAGAATACATACTACATTAAGGGCCGCACAATAGTATCTATTCCAGTAAATGGTAATTTTTTAACCAAAGATGTGGTAAATGTGTCTTAATCCATTTTCTCAGTATCGAAAAAGTGCTTAAGCAATACATTTGCTCAAATTCAAGATTATTTCCAGTTATATGTAGATGAATGACGAAGATGAACTCATTTGAAATAGACCTAATACACATGGTGTATTTCCATCTAGGCATCTACTGCACATTATGTAACACATTAAAATTGTGGGGTATTTTAATGGGTGTCAAAATAAATACTCATGATTTTCTTTAAACTGAAAATATATCAATTAGATTTTTATGCAAGTTATCCACTAGAGTCACCACACTCTGTTTATCAAATTCACAAGTGCATCAAGCAACCATCCTTATGTAAAGGTGTACACACAATTTACACACACACTTACGTGAATTTCTAGCGTGAAGTCGGTGCCATCCAGCAGCATGACTGTACACTGGACCGCATTCTTCTTCTTCACCGTGTGTCCACCGTGATCTATGTGGTCTGACTTTACCCCTCTCCCCGTACGTCGGCGACTGAGAAAGCGAAAGAATTTTGACATTTTCTTGGACGAATGTCGGTCGTCGTATCAGCTAAACATAATTTTACACACTCGCCATCATCAACTCATTTTCAATTCATGTTAAAATCCTTAATGTGCTCAGATAAAAGATAGATGTGACTCATTTGTCGCCTGGATTTATTGTTTTGCTGCGATCGTCTTCCTGTTAAAATTCCGATTCGCGGCGGAATCAATCGATCAATTTCGGAAACTTCCGGTTTGTGAAAAAACTCAAAATCTCTTCCACGGATAAAATTGGATGTATTTTTTTCACATCGGGATCGGGGTTTACATTGCACGTGTGGAAAATTATGCAATGTCAACATGCAAAGGCAAAGAGTGAAAGACAAAAATTATAAGCACTTATAACCGGTAAAGTAAAGTCTTTAATGATTTCTGATTTGTACAGCACATGGCCACCATTTATTAAATCCGGCATCATGTCATACAGCAATGAATGAAAATGAGGGAATTCGAAATGAATGAACAGTCCAAATAGTACATGTATGTATATTAAATTAAAGTTTCACATTCTTAATTAGGCTAACATGAAAACTAAAGACAAATGAATGAATAGATTGTTTAGAGCCTCATCATGCTCATTAGTTCATTTGTACATTTCTGATAAAAGTTTAACTTTCCAAACTATCTAATAACCTAATAGAATCTAGGTCCTGTCATGATCAGAACTCTATTTTGACTGTCTGGTTTTCAAGGGAAGGAGACAAGCATACACCCAATTAAGAGCCTCCAGTCCTCTTTCTAATGTAACGCCAAGCCGGGGTGCCATTTATGATGTCGATCTCGCTAGATACAAACTTTCAAGGGAGGAATATTTTCAAGAATATATTTAACATACAGTATTGAAGACACACTGTTTTCAGTTGGGGAATAAATTTCTCTATTTTACAGTGCAGTAACAAACTTTCTTCAGAATTAATGAATTTTAGTATTATAACTTTTTAACATTCGCAGCACCACAGTATGAAGAGAATTTGGAGAACACTTAAGAGATTGGCTGACAGGATTGACAGAAATGCTGAACGACTTAAAAGTGGCAAGGTAAATATATACATATATAGGGAGTCAAGATTTACTTGCAAAGGATAATTTTATACTCTGATGAAAGCTGAACACGACTCGTAAATAGGCATACACCATTATCTGTATCATTATCCACAATTAACATCAACACCAGGGTATACTCTTCAGATTCATTACACCTGACTGCTTTATTGTCATGGGGATCGGCGTGGTTATTTTGCATTACCTTTGTTTATATTCTATTGCAAATTCTGACCTGTACAACTGTAATTGTACTAAGTTTCTCTGAACAACTGTAATTGTACTAAGTTTCTCTGTACAACTGTAATTGTACTAAGTTTCTTTGGTATCTTTTCCAGCATTCGACAAAGTATTACGTTATTATTCTCGCTACCAAGTGCTGTATAGCATACGTCCGTCCACACTGTGTTGACTGAATACGCTGAACAGTGACTAAGTCCTGCCCTTTATATAGGGGTCTGCAGATATAGCGAGAATCAGAGCAAAAAATGGTGGACACATTCCTTGTACGAATTGTGTTCAGCTTAAATCAGTTATATATAAGAGAGAGAGCTTATATTTCCCTGTTAAAGCTAAAAATTTAGAGACTTTGACATGTCCATTAACATATATTATTAACAAGTATAGAAAAATAACATGAATTTTGTGCATTAGGGACATAGACCACCATGTAGTGTGTGTACTTTTTTACAATCTGTACATTTTATATTTAATTGGATGAAACATTTTTTATGTGATGCCTTCTATTTTTCATTTGGATCTTTCTTCATTCCAAAGGACAAACTCAAATATCAAAAGTAATTTTATCAACCAGTTATAAGTCATTGTACATAATCATAATCAAATTTACCCAAATAGGGCTTCACATGACACTGTGTCATCCTCAAGAAGTGTAAAAGCCTTAACATTGAGATATCTGCATTTCCTGTTTCACTCACACTAAACTCCCTCCTTCATGATCAAATTCAAACTTAACCTCCTATCTGAAATGACCCTTAATTGATAATTAAATTGACCAATCAGAGGCTTTTACTGTGAAACGTAATTTTTGTCTAATCCATAATCATGCGGAAATAATATGATGTGAATTTTAAGTCTTTTCAGTAAATTCGTTTGGTTCAAATGTTGTATAATCTGAAATGTTCTTTAATTCATACAGGAAGTGCTGGTACAAGTGTCCACACTGTGTGCAGGAACAGACAAGTTTTACTTTATATTTGCAGATATAGCAAGGAAAAGGGGTTTTACCTTGTGTTCAGCTTAAATCATTTATATAAAGAGAGAGATTTAATTAAAGATATTTATGACATGTAAGGTATATTTGAATTTTACAATTTTAACTTCTGTAGGTATTAAATTAACCAATGAAATATAAAAGATGCCTATTTTTCCTTTCTTCATTCCAAAGTCATTTAAATTAAACGTACGGCTTAATATAAAGTTTGCCAAAATTCTGGAAGAATTAAGGCATACTTGAAAAATCCATAATCATGATTGTGAAATGTGTATTTTAAGTTTTTTAGTAAATTCATTTGGTTAAAATGAAATGTACTTTAATGTGTTATTCAAGTGGTGTGCAGATTAGACAAGTTTTATTATCCTCAAGGAAAATGGGTTTTACATTGTGAAAAATAAAATAAAAATTTAAAAGGATATATGCTATGTCATCTTTAATTATAAATTTTAAGTTCCTGTAAACAACCAATGAAATATATGCATTTTTTATTAAAGGTGTTAAATGATTTCAAAATCTTTGTTTTAAAATACTTGATTGTGAAATGTGTACTTAGAAGCTACACGTACCATGATAGTACTTTTTTTTTATAATCCTTGTGTTAAATGAAAAAAAAAATTCAAGGAATTTTTGTTTTAAAATATGAGTACCGGTACTATGTACAATATGCATTTTTTTTTAAAGGTGTTAAATGATCTGAAGGAATCGGAAACAGGTTTACCTGGCAAACTTTTGGATTACCCATACAAGGACCTAGCTCTCTACAGATGTAAAGGAGAGGAGATAGTCATACACAAGCTCATCGATATCAGTTCTGTATCGTTCAGGGTGCTGATAGGCATCCCTTCACACCTGTTAAATAGCACCAAAGGTGAAACATCAGCTCAGAATCCACCAGCGTTCACTGGAAATCCCATCAAGACTTCATTTAGTTCATCCAGTTATAAACAGTCATCTCCGTCACTTTCCGAACTGAGAGGAAATGAATCGTTAGGGTTTTTGGGAGATGAAAAGTCAACCCTTTCTTCTTCGAAATCAAGAGACTCATCTATAGGGACTCTTGAGGACCCTATGGTACCGAAGGGAAATAACTCTCAAAGTAATGCGGAAGAACAGGAGGAAAGTGAAAATTCCGAAATTCTTGATTACTTTTCGGATATTTCCAGATGGGAGAAAAAATTTGCCATTCTTCGGGAAATATTGTTATCGAGACAGTATTTCCAAGAAGAGGCTGTGTTTTATTACATCATTTTGATGTTTTTCATTTTGTCATTGTATTTGACACCTCCATACTATAGACTTATTTATTTGAATATTTTCACAATCAATGGTTTGATTTTAAAATATCATAGATGTAACGGTAATGTGATTAGGAAGAAAAGTCACGAACAAGTGCTCAAAATCCTCACCGCCAGCGAACTGCAAAATCATTCAAACTATGTAGCGGCAGGCAGAAGATACTGCATGAGAAGGCTTAAACAAAACTGTAACACGTACAGACTTCAGAAAAGGAAGGCAGAAGACTCTTTCCAGGATAAACTTCAGTTGCTTATGAACGTCGCTCTCCATCGCTTTGTACCGAACTGTGAAAACGTGTACAACTGTGCAGGAGGAGTGCGGGCGTGGCCAGCAAACTATTTCAACCACGATTTCTTTTGGGCTTACCGGATGCAGAAACAAAAAAGAGTTAAACAGTGTGACTGTTAAAGAGGTGAAAAATATAAAGTAGAGTTATACATGGTCATATTCGAAAACAGTTGGTTGACAAATAAAATACTTGTATATGTATTTATTTACTGCAGTTTTGATTTCACTGATTAAAAGACTAATGCATATGAGTTAAAGCTGGGTATGGGCAATTCTATGCAAGTAAGCTTATATAAACCAGAAGTCTCTGTCGAGACTGTAGCTCTACTGGTTTGTACTCCAAACAAAGGGAGACAAAAGTAGCAATTGGGATAAAAAACTTTACAAAAGCAATAAATAGAATAATGATCCTTGATTAAGTCTCTTTTTGTGGCAAGATTGCAAGAAGACTTCAACTGTAGGAGTACCTTTTAATAAAATTTTATAGAATTTTGAATTTTAGTTACCATGGCAACATCATTCATAAAAAAACAATAAAGACAATTACCAGGTATGTATCTCAGTGTAGACTACTTGTATGCCACATTATACGTGTACTATATACCGGTAATCAGACTAAAACTGTATTTGGAGTAGAATTTTTTAAGTATTTTACAAAAATTTCTATTTTTTAGTAATCACGGCAACACCATTCATTGAAAACATAAACTGACACACAGAATTATGTATCTTAGTCTATTTGTGTGCCAAGTTACATGTATATTAAAATCAGACAAACTGTAGGAGGAGTAGAATAATATTTTCGTCATTCATACAGTATTTTGAAATCCAATTAGACATTTTGCTTAAAAAGTCAACCCTACAATTTTCAGTATTCAGTGCATAAATATTTACAACTGTAATAATTCTACTACATGTATCGTGTTCAATGTATTATGTATCTTAGAATTATGTATCATAGCCTATTCTACGTGTGTGCCAAATTATACTGAAATCAGACCAAAACTGTAGGAGGAGTAGCATTTTGAAAGTATTTCACAGAAATTTCTATTTTTAGTATCCACGACAACACCATTCATCATGAACATAATTGATATGTTCCAAAATTTGTATAGTATATGTTTCTTACAAAGTTAGATAATCAAATTAGGCCCCTTTGAACAATGTAGACAAAAAGATTATGCAAATGTTCAGGTAATACTAACGGATTACAAGATAATGTACACGTAGATATAAGACTAGAGAGTCACTCACATATGAACAAAGTCACAATTTGGTCATATATCACTAAAGTCTCTGTCGAGACTGAAACTGGTTTGAACTTATA